ACAAACTAAAATGCATTCGTGGAGGACTAGTTACTTTATGTAAATAAATAAATAGTTACTTTATGTAAATAAATGAATACATTTTTTTAATGATTTACAAAAGAAAAACCATGGTTTAAATTTTCATTGATCTATCGCTAACAAAGCCCATTTCAAATGTAAAATATATACTTGTACATATACAATAGGTATTACCAGAAGTATTGGTAGACAAAAAAAAGAATTTATTATAAATTGGTTTCATTGTTTATTTAAAAACATATCCCTCAATTAATATTCAATGTTAAAGTTGAATGGGAAATTTTATTTAATTATAAAACATAAATTACCAATTACCAATTAAAAGGTCAAAAGAATAGAAATAAGACGATATCAATAAAATCGTATGGCAATTGACTGGCAATTCTGTAAAACGTGAAGAGAAAAACAGTCATATTTTCTTAAACGGAAAACAACACATGTTATACAAAATAATTTAAATTAATGGTGAGATTTAATCGCATGTATTATGTATACTAATTTGTACGACTAAATAAAAATGCAAATCCCTCCTTTGCACTTCTCTTATGAAGCACTTAACCGAAACCAACATCTTTTTTAATTTAATTAATTAATTAATGTTCGTTTAAATTAAAAACACAGCCCCCCTCTGCGCTTCTCAAATGAAGATACTTTACGTACCAATAGCAATCTAGCTGTGCTAGCTTTGCAGGTGTCTAAACTATTGATCGCTTTGCGAATGGTTACACATTTTGGAAAAGGTTTAATATTTTTGGGAAATTATATTCCCCTAGCTCTACAATAACTTGCTTCTTTTTGTTCATCTAAGCTTGAGAGATTTGATTTTAATCGTTGAAAGAGTAGAGTTTTCAATGCAACTCTTCAGACACTTGCGGTTTACTGCGAACTAGCAATAGTTATATTTAATTTTTTGGCAACTGCAATGGAACTGTTATACGATTAATTTGCAACTGCTGTTAGTTACACGTATTAGTTTGTGAATAGAAATTAAAACTCAACTATAGTTATATATGGTTGTTAGAAAAGAAAACCCAAAAATTTGTGCAGCATTGATGGCTGTGACTAACTACTAATCAACTAATTAAACGAAGTGGCCTTTTTCCATAAGTACTGTTTCATCAAATTCAGTGAACTAATTATCAATACAACCAACTTAAATATATATATAAAGTATATTAAATAACTTATTCTCCGACCTTGATATGTATGCATAAAGAATTCTAACAATTCTTGACCCATTGTGGGACATTACTTGTGAATGCTGGGGATATTTGTTGGCCCAGATCTGAACTAAAATTAGCTAACACGACTTTAATACAGCTTGTAAGTGCAAAGCAAGCTAAATACATAAAAAGTTAAAGCTCGTAAATTGGCACACACGCTTCACTAAAGCGCAAAAAAGGCGCCAACACCTACGTTCCAGCACTCTAATTACGTCAGTGTGTTTATACTTGTATAGTAAACTCGTATATGTAGTAGTCGTTGGCTTATATACTAAACGCAGCGACTAAAGTGACCACACAATGGCAAATGACATTGTGTTTATGACGCATGGCCAAAGCGAAGTGCCTAAAAACTAAATTAAACACAATATTTTTGCATGAACGAGAAACGAGCAAAACAAAATAATAATAACGAAAAAAAACACGCAAATAGTTTTGGACTCAATTAGGTACAAGTTTGGTGCTGGAACTGGAGGCGCCACCACCCCCTCAACTGAAGTCAAGGTGACAAGATGTATGTGACATCCACATGCCAAGTCATTGTTCCATTAAACTGATGAGTTTTGCAACTGACCGCAAAAATAATGAAGTGGAACCCTTAACCTAACCATAGTTGAAATATTGCCAATTTTTATTCAGTCGTAACGCTTGTCTGCTCGAAATTTAAATGACAATTGACTGACTGACGCTTTTGACCTTTGCGGTTCGTGGGCTACGACGCCACGGCGCTTGGCCAATTTAATTAAGCCAGTTCGCGAATTTGTTTAATGGAAAGTGGAACATGGGAATATTTCGAGTTTTGGCGAGCGGGCAACGGGTTGAGCATGCTCATATATGGCGCAGTTTTGTTTTATAGTCCTGGGCCACTTGGACAGACTGATGGCAGGATGATGACCATTCAGTAAGCACGCCACACCAAAATGAACCTTTACACTTTTCATACAATATATTTGTGTGTGTATGTGTACACAGAAATGGAAATGAAGTCATCTGCCATATTTAAACCCAAGCTCTTGGCCAGCCCTAGCATGACTAAACCAACATTTCAACATGGCTTTCAAGTTCAACGTAACATTGTCCTTCCTAGGCCGTCAACTCATGAGGCATACCAAAGCAATTGGCTTCCTGCTCTCTCTTTCTCCAATGCCCGACAATAATATTTAATTTGAGTAGGCATGTAAATGACAATGGTAGAGGAATGCCAATACACTTGATAAGAAAACTCCGCCAACGCCATGTCCGCCATGTCTGTCAACAAAGGTAGTACATTGCCATCAGCGTAACTATCGGGTAATGGGTAGGTGTCTTTCGGGCTTTTGGGCTCTTAGTAGTCAATAGTTTTGGGTAAATGCGCAGCAACTTTTATGCTAATGAACGACCACGAACTTGAGCTGCGTGTCGCCCTAGGAGCCAGAATGACATGCCGTGAACCCAACTCAGCAATATCGAACTTCAGTTCGATGGCTATGTGATTAGGCTAAACTACACTTCGAAAAAGACTTTCATGGAGACTTAATTTTAACTTGCAACCAAATTACTTTAGTTATTTAATGTTCAAAAATGTTATTCTTGCCTTTTCAGTGCCGAAAGATCTAATCGTTCGATTCATCAAAGTATATACATTGGGATTCAGGAAAGCTAAACATCTTATAAGACTTAATGGGATAGGTCTGATTTAGAGCTTAAGAATCTTACAGCAAAAGAACGGGCTAAAGCTAAGGTTAAAAGCAGTCTATCGGTGCTTCTATTGGACTGGTCGCTTTCAAATTTGATCAAAGCTTAATCCTTGCCTTTTCAGTGATGGTCAATCTAATCGATCGATTCATCAATATATATTTGGTTTCTGTGAAGTTGAACATCTTCTAAGACCTAAAAATACATGTCTGCTTCAGAGCTTAAAGATCCTACAGCAAAAGAACGAGCTCGAGCTGAGGCTAACCCGCAAAACAAGTTTGGTGACCCCGAGGCAGGGATAGACAACCCCTATCTGCGCTTCTCAAATGAATCCACTTTAAGCACCAATAGCAGTATATTTGTGCATTGTATTAGTTTATAAATAGAAATTAAAAATAGCTAAGCTTTAATTATATAAAAAATAAAGCCCAAAATGCATTAATGGCTGTAACTAATCCATAAACTAATTAACAAGTTTGGTGACCCCGAGACAAGAAGGCACTCGTCTCTATATGACTTATGCTTGCAAGGCATACAAAATTCTTAGGAAATAAAATTTTTCCGAAAGTGTAACGGAAATTGTTAATTGTCATTTGTATTTGACATTCTGGGCGCGCATTGAGTGTAGTTTAAGCAGTCGCAGCTGAAACAACTGTAGTTCAAGGCCGTTTGCCGTACACATACGCTTGTTTAGACACCCAGACAAATTAGCAGAGGGTGGGACGGAAATGCAGACGTACAGGTGTTGCTCGCTGAGCTGCTGACGTTATCTGTCTGATAAAACAACAAAATTTATAATGGCTAAGCGGATGCCGCCACTGTAATGCAAAGCAAGCACTTTAGAGGGAAAATAAATGTAAATGTAGAAATACCCAGCAGCAAAAATCAATAGCATTACGTGTATATAGTTCAGTAGTTACTGCGCACATTTGTCGTCTGCCGTCCGTCCGTTTAAGTGACATGTCAAGCAGACATTTTCCTGCCCACTGGGAGCATTACGCGCGCACCCATCGTTCGAAGGGGGAGTTGGGCAGAATATTTAATGGCGCGCTCGCTGATGGACGACTGGTTGCATTTGACAAAAGCTATACTATACTATACTAAACGAGTTTATCGGCCACAGCTGCATTGGCCAGAACTATTTACTTGCCCGTAAGTAAGTAAATAGCTTTTTGTCACACAAAAATCAATAAGAACTAAATAATTCAAATGCATATTTGCCAGATGGGAAAGTGAGCAGCATGTGTGGACAAAATGTCAAAGTTGAACTTATTTGAAGGTAATCTAAGCAAATCATTTAATAAATCATACACGTTCATTTCTTTCATATGTCCACCCGTAGTTATACAAGGCAATAACCGCTTATGATAGCCAGCGAACTGATTACCACTATCTATCACACCGGACTGGCATGATTCGGATAGAAGAATGGAGTTTATTCCCTATAAGCATGACGAGCAAGTGTTCTACTATTATTTAAGGAAGTGGGCGTAAATATGGGAAAATGGGCAGATGACGGCTGTTCTCACAAACCCCATTCCCCATTGCAAACACAACAGCGGTTTTTCTTTAAGCTATAGCAATACATATGTACATATATCGGATTTAGTTGCCTCTTTGAACTATTGAATTTGAGGTCTCTTAAGAAAATTCAGGTCAACAAGAACTAGTTAATAAAACAATTTTCAACTATTAATTATTACGAATTTTTCATTATCATTATTAGTTGTAGTTATATCTATTTACACTATCTAATTGTGTCGAGTTGTAATTTAAATTTTTGTTTGTCGATTAACCACCCAGCCTCGGCTTAGAAATGGGAATCAGGCGAATAGAAAAATCAAATTGAGATTTCTTTCATACAAGTATATCATCATTATGTTGAAACATATATTGAATTGTTTCTCACAAACCGTGATCGATAATATTAATAAAAAATTGTTGTAAAAGAGTAGAAAGTGATATTTGAACAATCAGTTATAAATATTTCGTTTACCCACGCCTAGAATAGTTTATAAAACCATTTCACCTTCTATGCAGCTGGTCTATTTTCACACACATTTATCTTACACTATCACTCACCTCAATTTTCGCCGAATAATCCTCAATTAGCTTCTCTTGTTGCTTAACCAGCTCTTCGTTCTTCTCGAGCAACGCCTTGCCCAGCTCGGCGGCTAACAATATGTCCGATTCCTTTTGTTGCAGTTGAGCCCAAACATCCGGCTCGTTGTCGTGGCGGGCCTCCATGGCGCTGATGTAATGTTCTAAATCAATTGAAGCGCCAATTAGTGAGGAGTGCTGATGGGATTCGTAAAATGATGAGGAGCCGGCGTTGGCTGCTTCTGATCCCGTCGAGTGGCCTATGCCGGCTATACCGCCTATACCACTAGATATTGCTAATGCTGGCTTGCTGAATTGACGAGCGCGCTTTGATTTATTGGCGTTGTTGTTGTGGTTGTTAGATATAGAGGAGGCAATACCGGCAGCAGTTACAGTATTTACTAGCTTTGGCTGATGCATGATATGATCGTTAGCGGCAATTATTACAGACAGATAATAGTAACACACACACAAACATAACACAGAATGTTAAATAATCGGTTAAAGATGAGGCGAGAGTAGCAGGCGGTTGGTTTTGTTAGCGGCTTTTGATGTTGGTTGCTTGGTTAGGTTTTCACGCGAATTGTTGGATTATCTTGTTGCTGTTGCTGTTGTTGTTGTTGCTGCTGCTGCTGTTGTTGCTGATTCAATTTATCTAGCGATACGTCAACGACGAGAGTAGCAGCGACAGACCTCATGATTCCATAGGCCGCTTGCAGCTTCGATGATGACGACGACGATGAGGCCAACACCCAGCGGCGTCTTAACTGCAGTTTTGGTTTTGTTGTAAGTACATAGCAATAATGGGAATTAGAACTTAATATACATAATATATGTACATATTATATACTATACTATACTATATTTGTATGTATGCATGCATGTACGCGCGTATCTATGTACATCAGAGGAGACAAGCTTGCGGCCAAAATGTGAGCACGTAAACCGAGCCGAGCAGCTGAGCTGTTGCCAAAAGGAGGCGCAGGTCACGTTGCACATTTACAAGCACGTTTTACATGTGCCGTCATTCAGGGGTTAAAGGGGGTGTGGATGGGGGGTAGTGGTCCGTCTCTGACACGGTAATATATACAGAGTGATGACATATAAATACATTGTGTTCTTTTTCGGTTAGGGCGTTAGGCAAAGGGGTTAATAAAAGCGTAGAATTAACCAACGTGTAAGTGAGCTCAATGGCTATAAAGCTGTAATATGTACTTACGCCTATTTAGAATTAAGGGTTTAAACTGAGTATGCTACATGAAGTTGAAAAGAATGAGAAATGGGCTTGAAGGTGTTAATAGAGAAGTTAAGTGAGAAGAAGTGATGAGCTTTTTAAATGATAGTTTGAAGCTTATCTATCATTTATCGAGGAAACTCTAAAAAGCATATCATTGATCAAGCTCCTTCATTTGATGTTTGGTCTTTCTAAAAATATTTAAAAGTTTGGACACAAAGTCAACTATTACAGCTGTTTTAAAATGTCGAAATTTGTAGGTTTTCTCCTAGATATAGGATTATGTTAAACTATACTATGCTATTTTATTTCTTAATCTAAGCTTTCTTTATCTGATATATGGATTTTTTAACCCTACAGCATTCAACATCAGACTGGCTAACAAGTCTTGCATCGCCGGGTCACAATTTCCCTTTTTATTTGTTTATTTTTTAAATAAATAATTTTTCTGTAAATTTCATTTTGCAATTTCTGTTTGCAGGTCTATTAACGCCTCTGGAGAGGCCTATTAGATATTATTCGTAGACTTTCCTAGCTTATAAGACGATTTATACCTTTTTTTTGCTTTACTTATGTGGGCAGTCTATGTTTGTCGATAAAAAATCAAATAAAAAGCAAAAGGAGGGCTTCGAAATGTATTTCAAAAACGATATAAGTATAGAAGAATACTATATTTTCTTCTACTTTTTATTATCTGGCTAAACAATTTGAAAAATTCAGTTTACTATTCAATTTATAGATTCCAAAAATGGAAGCTAAGCTGATAACGCTATTAGTTTGGTTTGTTAGTTCAGGCAGGTGAGATATTAGAAGAAATTCTTAGACTTAATACATGAAGTTATTGAAAAATAGCGTTCTATAGATAGAGTAATTGGTGTGCAAACGAATCGAAGCCATATATCGTTGAAGTATTCGAGCTGATGTGGCCAATATTGCCTCTTCTAGAACAGCAGGCAACCTGTACTCTTTGCCTCAATAACCCCTGACAGAGTCCATTGGTAGTGTAAAAAATGTAGTGTTTGAAACTCTATTACTAACTATAGGGGAGTTAAGGAAATTTTGAAAAATATTACTAAATCACGCCACAGTCAATCGCAGCACCAGCACTCTCTAAAGTTTTAGCACAGCTTTAGACGGTTTTTTTTTTATAAAATACATATATATGTACATATGTATATACACAGTTATATATTGATGTCTGCATGTAGTAGATTTCTATTTGAATTAGTTGTTATATAGAAAATACATTTGGCAAGCACTTCACGCTTTACTGCATTTGCTATTGTTGCTGTTGTTGTTTTTATTTGTTGTTATAGCCAATATATAATGCGCTTAACGCTACCTTTTTGGCCAACTTTTATTTATTTTTATTCATTTTTTGGTAGCAAGCACACAGACACAGTTACAAAACACACACACACACACACATTCACTGAGGTAGGCAACTGTTGTTGTTATTATTGTATATAGTTGTTGTTATGATTGTTATGGCTGCGCATTTCCGTTATTTATGTCACATATATACCACTACTTATGTATATACTATACACATAGTATATTATCTGACTGGGCTGACTAGCTTACTGGTTGGCGTTATTGACAAAACAACAAATAAACACGGGCGCGCACTTTGCATGCATTTCCTCTTAATTCTCTACTTGGACGTATCTGTGAGATACATTTTGGGCGGTCGCGCACTTTCCACTTTCGCAAACAGCCCCAGCCGCTGTTCGATGATTTAACTACAAGTATGTTTTGGTTTTCATTTTTATATGTGCTTATACACTATTTTATGTTTATAAGTATAGGTAGGTAACATAGAGCAGAAACCTCAGTCACGACGCTGGCGATGGCGATGACGATGGCCACAACGCTCGTATCGCTTAGGTAGGCAAAAAGAACTTCCGATTCAGATTCCGACAACTTTGAGACGCGCGTGTCTCTGGAGTTTGTGTGCGCGTGTTGTTCGTGTTGTGGGGCAACGTCTGCCAGACGCGAGAGTTCGTTTTTAACTGAACACTCTGGCCGTAACGCTACAAAAATTGGCAAAACAAATGAGTAACCAAGCCAACGAGCAAGCGACCAAGCGAACGAACGAAGCGAACCACAGCGAACGCCAAGCAACGAGAAATGTTGGTAACTTGGCAACAACAACAACGACAACAACAAAACAAACAAACGGCCCAAGCTCTCGTATCACTTGTTAGTAGGAACCGAACTATAACTATCAAGAGAGCACAGGTGAGTGTTGACGCGCTAAGAGAGTGCGGCTCAGAGTAAACAACAAAGCGTAGGGTTGTCGAGCAACCATGTTGATGAATCAAACATAAAAGAGAGCATATGATAGGGCTAATGTGTTTTTTATAAACATAATTTAAGTTTAATTTCCAGAGTATTATTTGTGAATTTGATGGGTTTGGTTGCATAACATTTAACTTATTTCTGCTATTGTATAATGCCCGAACATAACTTTTGATTATCCAGTTAGACCCTAGTTAGTCTCCTATAAATCTAACAAACGAAATAATAATTGCTTTATATGCATTACAATGGAAATGTGGAAATGATGAGGAATAGTTCTTATGGATGTTGAAGCTATCATTTTAGAGGCTCTATTTATTTGAAGCTATTCGATATGATATAATTTTGTTTAATCATTTAGCTTATCAAAATTGTAAAAGCATTTTTTACTTAAATTCTTTCTAATTTGAAATCAAGGAAAACAAGTTTTATAAAATAAATATAAAATATTTACTGTATTCATACTTCTAATAATATAGCTGGTAAAACAAAGAGTAAATATAAATAATTCTATATTTCTAATATATATAATTACAAAAACTCACCAAAACAGGTATTCTTCAAAATGAATTCTTATCAGGGTTAAGAAACTTCGCTAAAAAGACATTTATCTAATCTATAATTATATGTTTAGTGAACCTATAATTTGCTTACTTATTTATCTTTTGAGATATCTAAAAATTTTCAATTAATATAAGAAGTTTTTTGTTCTCAAATATCTGATTTTTTTTACTTGAAAAATATCGATATAATTGAATAAAGAAACTATGTTTTATACGTATTAGAAAGTATTATGTGGGTTTAGCCAATGAATTTCTTAAAAAACTAGATTCCTTTAAAAAACGAATATAATTTAATTTCTCATATAATATATAAAATAATTTTTCCACATTAACTTTTTTATATTAAATTAACTTTTTTTAAATCGAGAAATATATATAATTATTTTTTATTTATTAAACACTGATAAATTACAAATCCACAACTCACGCTGCTAATCGCCAAGTTTTGACAACTCTATAGATTGAGATACAAAAAATATATGCGCTCATCGAGCTCTTAACTGTTGACTGTTGATACTCTTTCTCTCTTAACCCTTTTGTGTTATTAAGCCGTCTTACGAAAGCGCTGGCACTGGCTCAACAATAAAAATGAGCAACACAGTGTGTAGACCTCCAAAGCCCAGCGAAGGCATTTTTTCAATGAAATTTACATACGCTCGCCAACCGCAGTAGCAACATCAAACAATACCAACAATGGGGGAATGGGGCGGGGGTCACAAGAATGGCAATAACAATAGGCTATGACATAGACAGACGGTCTAGTACGCGTACTAAACAAAAGTGTGTAGTATGTATTGCCTTGCCTTGCCTTGCAACATGCACAATAAGCGCTCAAGTGGCCAAGACGAAGACGAAGATTCAGAATAGGCCCAAACCCAAGCCCAAGCGCAGGGCAAACCCAAGTCAAGTCCAACTCTGGCCAAAACACGTCTTTCGAGTGCAATGTGCGTTGGCCCATTGTTCTAAGCAACCAAAAGTTGCATTGCTGTTGTTTACGATGTTGCTTGGTCTTTGTTGTTATTGTGTTGTTTGGTCTCTGCTTTGTGGCTACTGTGTTTGGTCATTTACCAAATTGAACTTTTTACCACTTTTGGCCAGCACTGGAAGCTAGCCAGGCGGAACTAGCAAAGCCTAGGCGAGCCACCGCCAAGGCAGTTAACAAAATGGACGTAGTATGCATAAGTAAAGCTTTATAGAAATATACATACAATGCCGATAATAAATATAACGTCAATATATGGGTTTAAAGCAAAAAACCTTAAAGTTATTGTTCAGTTTGAAAATTTCTAAACAAATAAAAATATCATGATATGTGGCTGGAAAAACTAAATAGATGTGAAGTGAAGCTTATTTGTAACTTATATCCTATTGGGGAGTAATATGATCTGATAAAATTATCATAATTACTTTTATATGCTCATATAATCAAATGAACCTAATATCATAGAAATAAACTGAATCTGAGATCAAAAAATATTGTTCTCGATTTAAATTGAATCGATCTATATAATTTAATTTAATATAAAATCGTTTATGCCATTTATCATAATTTATATTTATTTAATTATGAAAACATCGTTTGAATTGCTGGCAAATGTATGAAAATTAATTTATCTGATCTATTTTAATATTTCTTAACTTTTTCAAAGTAAAAACATTTCAATTATATCAAATTATTTTGCTGGTTTTGACTTCACAATTTTTTGGACTTGTTTATCGAGTTTGAAGCTAAGGGCCAGGGTTAAAAGGACTTTTGCAAAAATCAAAAGTACAAATTTAATCAATCATCACAAATAATAGTAAATACTACAAAAACAAATTTCTACTCATCTGAGTCCCAGGACACTGTCAAATATCGGGAAACCAAACAACAGACAAATCGAAAAAAAATAAAACAACAATACAGAAAATAACTTCACCCGAAAACATTTATCAAACAATTGCATTCCTTCAATCTACAAATCTCGACCATTTGATAAACATTTTTTTTTTTTTGTTAATTACAAAAAATCTTACAATTCGCAATTGTAAGTGGAATTAGCAATAATGAAAAAAGCAAATTATTTTTTTTCAGAACTTCTTAAATTTGTCTCTTGGTGTAAGGTTATTAAATAACATTTCCAGTTCACAACTTTAAAAACGAAGCGTAGAAAATGTTTTGCATTTGGAAGCTAAAAATTTTTACTCGACTAAATTTGTATATCCTAAATTTTGATGTAGGAAATTTTCTACTACATATTCGTACACAAACAAAATTGATTCTCAATACCAAAAGCTATATTCAATCCTCAATCAATCAGCTTCAATTTTTATCAAACAGTTAAAAAGCATGTAGCCAATCGTTTCATAAAAATCTGAATCTATTCAGATGTGTAGCTACGTATGTATACTAAATACTTATGTATATCAACAACATACGTATGTATATCTTGCATTTATGTATTTCTTTTAAAATTTATGCTCATGGGTGTAACTTCCTCGTTTCCGCTGAGATTTTTGCGGCCTGAAGCTGCAGCTTCTTCCTTTGGTAACATTTGTAGGGCATCCCACTAGGTTAGATTACATGTACGAGTATCTGCCGTCTATAGTGACTTCATGGCTATGTAACCGTTTGAAGCAAATGTTCTTGGACTGCTTTATTGTTTTACACTCTCGCTCTTGTTGTGGGACCGCTCGCTCGCTCTTTCCGCCAACGCGGCCCCCTCCTCTTGGCTGACCAGACGCTTGATGACTTGATGGCGGCGCCTAAACTGGTTTCGGCTTCTTTTTTGCTTGCAACCTAAAGTGTTGCTGCCAGTTGTTACTATTGTTGCTCTTGTTTTGCTTCTCGGTTTAATTATAATTATTTATACTCTGTGCCAAAAGGTTCCATTCACAAAGAGGCTTAGAATGCACAACCTCATATTTTTCCTTGTCCGCTAGAAACCTCCTTATGTCCCATAAACATAATAGAGCGATTGGAAGCCATTAGCCACAATTAATGTATAAGCTAAAGGCGTCTTAAGAGTTCAATCTCCAAAGGTATTTATAATGGAAGATAAGTTATTTTATCTTTTGAAAAAAATTGTTCATATATATAGTATATTTGTAGTTATAATGAGATTTATATACAATTTACTCTCTCTCTTCCATAGTTTATTTAAATTATATGTAATCTGATCTTATTTATGTTTCAGTTCAATAAAAATAATTTATATTTTAATGCAAATGTTTCGTCATAATTATAAATATTTGGATTATTTCATTTCTGTATAATTATTATTTTTTTAAATTTTTAATTCTTTATCAACAATCAAAGTAAATATTTAAACTGAAAACGGCCAAAAGAATTTTTTTTCGACTGGAGGAGGGTAAATGCTTTATGCATCCCCGATCTGCCGTCGCAGAGGTATGTGGGACTCCCACCTAGTAAAACCCCCCTAATATTGGACCTAGCTCCACTTCGAAAATGCTTTCGAATAGCTTCGAAGTGGAGTCCCTTCTTCACTCTCTTTCTTTTCTCTGCGACCAATGTATACTATTTCATCCAAGTCTCTTTTCTGCAACCGTAGAATGTCTGCTACAAAGGCAACTACTAGTCTCCAGTTTTTTTCGCTACATGCTTTTCAAAAATGTATGTAATCATCAAATTCTGTTATATTCCGATTTAAAGCTTGGAGCTTCACATAATATCCATAAGTTCAATGGAAAGGGCATCTATATAGTCAGGCGCATTGGACTGTATTGTTCTGAGTTTTTTCAAAATAATGTACAATGCTGTTTTCGTAGCAGTTGGCATGAGTCAGTCCGCCAACCTTTAAGTGTGTTTGGGTATTGCATGGCGTTTATGAATCGAGCTCTGACTCCGTTTCAGTTTTGGTCTCCGTTTCGGTTTTTGTTTTTATTTTCCTCTTCATGTATTGTTGCTTTGCATTGTCCGATTTGAACACCAATGACAAGCTACTGCAACAACAACAACGACAACAACAACTGAACAACTGGGCTAAAATAAACATAAAACAATGCTGGTTATTGGATATGTGTGTCAGTGGCAACACCAGCAGCAACAGCATGTCTCGAAAGGATCTGCCACTTTGAGGGCCGCCAGCAAGTAGTGCAAGACAAGTTATTTCATCATCATCGTCATCAGCATAGACATGCATTCTATATACTACAAGTATAACTAGTAGTAGTCAGCAGAAAGCCGGTCGTTGGCTTCTGCAGCAAACTGTTGCGCCCGGTTGAACCCCGATCCCAGTGTGGCATGCTGGTTATAGCTTTTAACCCAGAAACGACAAAAAGCCGCCACAGGCACGGAGCAAGTTTGGGGCGGATTACAAAACGCAGCCAAAACGAAAACCAAAACATGAACAGCAAATACCGTAAAAAGGTCAGAGACTGGACAAACCCAAACCCAAGCCGACACCAACACAAACACAAAATAGCTGTGGTGGCCATAACTGCCGTGAGAATTGACAATGAGAGTGTGGCTGGCCAATAAAAATGAAAACTAAAACAGAATGACAAAATGCGAGTACACGACTGACTTGGCTCGCAGCGACACACATTTAGAGCCGGGTTCATAAAAGTACTTACAGCGGAGCAGAACCGGGCGAGTCAAAGTACTCCACATACTCTACAAACTATACACACAAACTTACATACAATATAGAGATATACAAGTATACATGCTTAAACAAATCAGTATGCATTTACACGGAGGGAGCAACACTTTTGAACTCGATAAAAAAATGCATTCTCGAATCGGAAATGCAATGCGTTCAAGGCATGGCAACTTTTTCTTTTGCCTTGGCCCAAAGTGCAGCTGAAAACATGGCCAGAATAAGGCCGTTGCTGTTTTAAGGCGCAGCAGTCCAAGTCCGTTTACACCGTAACTGCAGTAAAAGGGCAATGACGACTCAGTTCAAGCCAAGTCAAGAAAGAAAATTGTTTCCAACTTATATTTGGTTGTGGACTCGGGGTGTGGTGGCTTTGGTGCCAGCTTGGCCATCGTGGCTTATAGTTGTTGGCTAGTGTAATAGTTTCTGCCATTGCAGCTGTCATTACTAAGCGTTGTGGTTGTTGGTATTGTAGCCAACATTGGGAATTGTCTTTGTGCTTGGTATAAGAGAATAACTGAATCATTTAAGAGCAAGTCCAAATTTCTCTCTTAAGTTGGCTCTTGAAATTAAATTGAAATTGTTTGGAATGTATGTGGATTGTAGGAGGAACGGTTTTAGATTTAGATGCAACTACTACGAGTTGCTTAAAGGTTCCCAAAATACTTTCAATATTTTTGGAAATCTAACTTCTTATCAATTGTAAATTATAAATTATTGTAAATAATTTATTTATATTTAAATATTTACAAACTTGGGGATCAAATAAAATGAAGTGAACTGTCTCCGTAAAAATCCCAGAATCTGACGTACTTACTTTTGAATAATTCTTTAAATCTAAATCAAAGGCAATCCTAACTAAATGGGTGACCAATTCAAAGTGAAATTATTCGTTATGAGTAAAAAATAGAACATTTCAAACAAAGAAAACGCATTTAAGGCAATAAAGATTTTGTTAAAGTAAATATTTAACTCAACTTAGGCATAATACAAAAGACTAATTTCTGATCCTATTCCTATTAAAAAACACTTCAACGACGATATTTTTGAGTAGCAGTAAAAATATTATGGAACTAAAAGATATAGTTTCTTTTTTCTCAAATGAAATATATTGAGAATACATCTAAATTACAAAGTTATTACATTATTTAAATCGTCTTCAATTGGTATTTCGCTGGAAATACTTATGAGAAGATTTGAAAAGAGATATTACCATATTTCTAACCGAATTTTTCACCAAAAATACGGCACTTGCAAAGATCAATTCAATTCTATTTAATGTAAGCTTATGGTATTTACGCCTAGTGGTTAAAGGACAGACCGAAACCCTCACCCAAATCTGGCTAAACAAATTGTATCGACCCATATCGTTGTTCAGACTAACCGAGTTTATTTGGTTCATCTGTTGGTAAATCTGCAGTTAAGAATATATGTGAAGAAGAAGTCTTTCAATAGGTCAATGCGAATTTAATAATTATTAGTTATAGTAATAAGAGTTCAACACTATAAATAAAAACGCAATTTGTTTGGTAATACATCAGCAAAATATATATTTTTATATGCCAAATTCAATTTGTTTAGTTACTCGTACATCAATGTGTCTTCAGCTGCTTTCACTTACATAGGTTGTTTTAAAGATATTGCCACAGGAGGCTTAATAATTAACTAGATGTGTTAGACAAATAAGAGCTGTTATACATATTTATACAAACATATAATAAACCAATATAATAAACACATAAATAATTATATATAGTATATCTCCATTCTCAGTTAGACATCTTTAAACCAGTTGCTCCATCGCTTCGACAGAATAAATTTGACGCCGCGTGGAAATCGCAGCCAAAAGGCAAACACAAATATCAGCATCACTATCGCGGCCACAATCATAGGCTGCAGCTGAGGAACGAGGGGGAGAGGGATGAGGTTAGTTTTTAGTGCGTTTTAGTTAGTCACTATTTTAAAGCGTGTTTCTCAGCGTACTTTCTGTTTTTGAGTCTTTGTGTGTGTGTGTATTTGTGCGCTTCCACCCAGCATTTACAAAATAAATATGCGTTGAATAAGGCTTATTCTTATCCTAAGCTGTAGACTTTAAAATTATTCTAAATAATTTTAAGGTCTAGGGACATGAATAAGGCCTATCCGACCATTTTGAATATGTTTCTGATATAAAAGGGAAAACAACTACATATTGCAAGTGGCCAGCCTAAATCTGCAGAACCCGCTTCACATCGACGGTGGGAAAGGCGGCGAACTGTCCCCGAGAGGCGCGATGCGGCTTGCGTTGCAAGTACTCCGCCAAAATGTCTGACGCGAGCTGAGAGGCACGTGTGCTGATCTCCTGCTTCGGCGGCAGCGGTTGATGACGACGCTGCAAAGCCACTGAATTGGCGTTGGCGACTAGAGAAGCGCCCGGTGCCTGCACCTGCAGTAACGATAGAACCCAGGCATGCTTCATTTTCGTCAACTGCGACTCGAGCGCATTAATGCGCTGATCCTGTGGCTGTGGCACATATATGGGTTCGAATTGTTGCAACTTGGCGCGCATATCCTGTGCCTGCAGACGCAAACGCTCGTTGCGCTCATTGTTGAAGGCGCACTTGAGCAGCTGCAGTTCCTCGGCCACCATGGGGGCGGTGCCAGCGGGCGCTGTGTAACTCACATTGCCGCTGCTGGCAGTGGAGATGTTGTGCCCAGATAGATCCGAAATCTGACTCTTGCCGCCACTACTGTTGAGCTTCAGTTTGTCGCGCAGATCGCTCTTCTCGCTCTCCAGCGCATCGATGTCGCTTTGCAGGTGATCCATTGTCTCCTCAAATTCCTTCTCCTTTTGCACCAAAAGGGTGCGCGTTTCCTCGTACTGCAGCTTCCATTTATTCACCGTATGCTCGTATTCACCCTGCAGGACGCTTAGCTTCTTCTCCGCGAGATCCTTACGTATTTGCATTTCGCTCAGCTCGTTCTGTTTCATTTTAGCCGCCAGCTTTAGTTGTTTGATGTCTGCTTCACGATTCTCCAGCGTAGCGGCAAGCACGTTCTTCTGCTCCAGCTGTTTCTTAATCAACTGGGCTCGCTGTATGATGGGCGTATCCTTATTCTGCGGTCGTTGCTGAGCTCCCGCCGCTGATATAATCTCATATTCCTTGTCCAGCAGATGCTGTGCAATGTGTTGGAGATCGGTTTGTGCCTGTGCCAGAAGTGTTTTGAAATTGTGCGTGGGTCCGCGATCGTCCTGCTCGTATATGCGCTCGCACGCAGCCGAGAGCAGCGACCAGTATTTCTCTTGCGGCAACGTGTGCTCTGCCGCATTATCGCTCTCAATGTTGGCCACAACGGCGGCAAGTGCCTGTTTGGTGGCCGAATGCATGGCCGACATTATACGACTGATGCTCTGCGCCAGTGCACGAATCGCGTCTAGTTTGTGGGAGGATAGACCGCATTTGATCACATGCTGGTCGCTTGGCAGGCGTCTCTTGATGAGCTTCACCTGTTGCTTGATGGCCTCCATTTGTTCATTGAGGAATTGAATCAGCAGCACTGAATCGCTGGTGGCGCCGGCCTCTTGTATAATTACCTTGGCAATGGCTGTGTCGTTCAGAATGGATTCGCACGCTGCGCCTAACGAGGCCACACAGTCCCGTATCATTTGCGTCTCATTGAGCAGCTGCTCGCCAGCCAACAATACCGAGTTCATAGCATTGAAGAAAGCCACACATTTCTCAATATTATCCGTGGTGCTGTTCTCGTCCAGCTGGTTCGACTTCAGCAACTCTATAATACCATCCACTATCTTCTCTTGTGCCACCATCTCGGGCAATGAGCTGCCGGCGCGCAGCAACGTATCGGGTTGACAGCTATTCAGACCATACAGGATCTGATGCAGCGCACACTGCAGATTGTGTATGTAATGCATTAAACGGCATTTGAAGGCGTACTGTTGGACACCATGGCCTTGGGTGACGGCCTCTCTGGTCACAGCCTCCACGGCAGGGAAACGTTCACGTGTCTGAGACACAACAATGCCACACTTAAAAACAATTCGTGAGATCAGCAATACGACCAATATGGAGTCGTGATCGCCGCCACGATTCATAAACGATTCGGGCATAAAGGCAGTCAACATTTGGACATGCTCATTGGCCTGCGAGAGTTCGATTTGGCGTAATTGCACATCGATGGCGCGTGTGTAAGCCTTGGATTCGGCAAACATTTGCTTGTAGTCGATTGTCTCGCTGGCTAACTTCAGGCTGGGGTCCTGCAGGGATTTCTGATCGTTGCTTGAACTGCGTTCGCGCAACTCAATGAGCTCCTCGTTCAATTTCTGGACCAGTTCGCGGAATTTGGTGATTGTCTGATCGCGATCATAAATCGTTTCAATAGCTGCGTCGCGTTCACGCAGTGCTTCCTTTTTGGCTCCATTGGCCAGATCAAGTTCCTCGCGCAAGTCCATTTCCAAATCGTGATTACTCTCCACAAGCTGCTCGTGCACCTCCTCTAGTGCCTCCAATTGGGCAATCTCTTCCTCCAATAGTTTCACTTTATCCTCCAGCTCCATTTTCTTTTCGGCTAACTGTTCCACCATCTCCTCAGCGCCCAGTGCAGCATCGACTTGTTCCTTAAACGCACAACAAAAGAATTGGAATGATGTATTTACGGATTATTTTTAATGGACTTGAACTTAGGTTCTAAAATGAAATGATTAGATGACCAGTCAGCCGTCACTCTGACTTCGATTACCGATGAAAATGTACAAATTTTGTGGGGATACGATGGACATATACAATTGAATTTACCTCCTGCACACCGTTTAATATATTTTATGTAGGCCGGCAAAGAAATAAAATGAAATTTTCCTTTTAGAATAGGGCGTTTGTGTTATTTGCAAAGCAAAAAAAAAGAAAAAGCCTGGGAGTGAATCAATTGATTTGCAATAAAGTAAACTAGATTTCATATACATATGTACAACAGATTTAGAAGAGGTATAGAAGAGCCAACCAAAGCTACAGCAAAATATAGAAGCCAATATGAAGTGTAATCTTCGGGAAACCGAATTAAATATACCTTTGCAAGAGCTGTACAAGAAAAAGTGTTTCAGGTAGTGCATTCCTCGAGGTGAATTTTCCAATTAGCATTAGCTTCAACTACAAAGTGATAGTCTTGGGTGCTTATTTAGTATTGGGCGATACTTGATATTTGTGTATTTTGAGTCTTTTATCGTTATTCTTGCAAGGATATGAATCGAGTGTTTATTTTTGTGTCACAGTGGGGGAGTAAGCGAATTCCAAATACAGTTTAGTTTACATGTACATGCTCGATTGTAAGCAATGAGTTTTAGGTCTATTACCGCATTGTTTGAGGGTGTACGATTTGTGCAATTTGCAAAGAAATAAGATCTTTATAGCATCACTAACCTGCAAGTCGGCGACTGTGGCTTCGAGCTCATCAATTTTGGAGGAAAGTTTCTCTTTTGTACGCTCCAATTCTGCGACTTCGGAGCGTTTCGTTTCCAGTTCCTTTGTTAGCTTTTGGATGTCGTGCTTGTCATGTGCCGATAGATCCCGCAGACGCACCAACGTATCCTTAAGACGTATATTCTGTTGCTCGAGTTGTTTGAACTCGTAGGTAGACATACCGCCAGTCGTGCCGTCTGCTGAGATGTTGCCTATGGTGGCATCTGCTTTGTTTTGCATATCTGAGCGCAGCAACTCCAAGTCTACTTGCAGCTCCTCTATGCGTTCCTTGGAAGATTCCAATTCCAGCTGCAAGGTATCGGCTTTCTCTTCAGCCATTTCTTTATCCAGCGTAATCATTTCTACATTGTCAGACAGCTCCGCCATTTCCTGAGCATGACGCTCCTTAGCCTCGATAGCGTCCTTGGCTTCCTGCTTGGCGCGTTGTAGCTCCTTTTGCAGCGATGCCTGCGTGGCCATAATTTTAGTGCGGAACTCTTGCAGCTGCTCGAATTGTATTTTCATTTTGTCAAATTCTCGCAGACGCTCCTTGTCCTCGTTGCGACGCTGCTTCAGAGTATCCAGCTTCTCAGTGAGATCAGCCACTTGAGTTTGCAACTCGGCGCTAGTTTTTTGTGCCTCCAGCAAAGCAGCCTTGTCCTCCGATGAACTGCCCGCATTGGGCGGCGCGGTGAACGAAGGGGAACGCATAGGCTGCGAGGGCGTAAATTGTGGCTTGAGTATCTCCAAGAAACCTGTCTCTACAAATGAGGCGCGTTTGGATGAAGCATGTGAGCCGTTCCCACCGCCGGCAGCAGATGCTGTCTCCGCATTGGCAAGTGATGAACTCGATGCATCCTTGCTATTCTGTGGCGCTAGGGATTTACGTGGTCCAATGCTGCTACTGGATGGAGTACGTTCACTAAGAGATGTGGTGAGCTGTGTGCGAGAGCCGAGTAATGATTGGCGACTGGATGATAGTGAAGTGCGTGAACCGCTCAGCCGTGCCCTTGTGGGTTGGGTCGTTAGTGGAGTGTTGCCGCTACCACTCACATCTTCGCTGGACCTCTTTCCTGAGCCACTGGCATCGGGTGCTGGCGTGATAACACGCAATTGCGTCGGCCGCACAAACATGCCGCAGTTCTCGTCACATTGGAAATACTGCTGGCCCTTAATGCAGCCATTATTTTTGCCCTTTGGTTCCTCCAGCACTACGCCCACCCACTTGCCAACGGCAAAACTGGTCATGCCAACGTAGGCGACCGTGCCGAACAGCTCTTTGCCAGTAAGTTCGACACGGGCGCCTACTTTTATGTTTTTTTCCGACATGCTGGTGTCAGGTGGCGGTGCCACTGGCCAGTTTTGTATGTGTAAGTAATGAAACTGTCTGCGTATGAGTTGAAAATGGCGGAAGAGCATGCATATGTGGAAAAAAAATTGTTATTAGGATTAAGATTCTAAAGTAGGGTCATGCTACTCACCACAGAATTTCTACTATTTGCTATGCACGTTTATGTAGTTGTCCGATGAGTTCAATTGGCAATCACTTGCGGCTTAAATGCGAAAGAGAAACCAGAAAATGTTGACATCATTAGTCACCAATACACGCACACCCCACATAAAAATGGGTGCTCCTCTGGACAGGTGAATATTTTTTCCAAATAATTGTTCTTTCTGTGTGCGTTCGTGGTTAGCAAACAGTTGGTTCTACTTACATGGTAATAACTAATGCTGCACTTAACTTTAGCTCTTCTTATCTCTTTTTTGCTTGCTTTTTGCTTTTCTATCAAAATTTGCACAAATTTCCAGACGCTGACCAACAGCTGTGAGGTAGGGTTGTAGGTACCTTCTCGTTGTTATCGATTAAGTGGTGGACTCGACAGTCAGTATTTGCTGGCAATAATGGTACATTTTTGAAAATTTCTAAAACATTTAAACCGCTTCATAAATATTTTTAAATGAATTTTGCTAAGGTGTGTATACTAATAACAAATTGAACTGGTAAAGCAATTAATGTGAATAAATTTCAGTATGTACAAAGTAAATATAACTATTTGAAAAGACCGGCACACTAGAGTAACATGCAGAGTTATCGATTGCTCCGATAGCCGAAAGAATTGGGTACACACTGGTGCATGCGTGAATATATGAACTAGTTGTCGGTTTTAATTTTAATGAAAATTATAACCACGTATAAAATAAAATAAAATGGATGAAGATGAGCATTTACATCGTTTTGGCACGCCCCTAGAACCCCTGGATAAAGGTGAGTACAGATTAAACTAGAAAATCTAAATCTAACAAGCCAAACGTTTACAGACGAAGTGCCAGCTAAAAAACCTCTGGCAATCGAAGATCAGATTGTTAAAGATGAAAATGGTAAGCGGCGATTCCATGGTGCCTTCACCGGGGGCTTTAGCGCAGGCTTTTGGAACACCGTGGGCTCTTTGGAAGGTTGGACACCGCAGAACTTTAAGAGCTCACGTGGAGAGAAGGCGGCTAAAGTTCAACAGCGACCGGAAGATTTTATGGATAAGGAGGACTTGGGCGAATTTGGCATTGCTCCCCAGGGCATACGCACAAGAGACGAGTTCTCCAAGGAGACTGAGGAGGATCGTGCTGGTCAACGCAAACGAAAGTTAATGCAGCCAAATCTAGATGGACCAATACCTGGTGCACCCGTGCTGGAGCAGTTGCTACGGCCGGTGCGGGATAAAGTGGCCGTTCGCATACTGAAGAGCATGGGCTGGAAGCCGGGCCAAGGTGTGGGTCCACGGCAAACGCGAAAAGAGAAGCAACAAGCGACGACTCGCAACAAAAGAGAGCAATATTTATTGGAGCACTACGGCACAGAGGGCTTGCAGACGAAGGAGGACAGAGAAGGCGATGCTGCTAACGGAAATGATGACGACAATGAGGAGGATGAGGATGACGAAGAGATCACCTTTGCTCCAGATGACTATGAACCCGTTTTCTACACCCCCAAAGACAATCGTTTCGGCATGAGCTACACAGGACTTAGTAGGGCGCCAGTTTTATCAAAGGGGACCGCGCCCGCTGCACCGATGCAACACATTAATCTCTTTGGCAATTTGGAGGCGTCTTCAAAAAACAAGAAACTTTCTATTCGTGGCCAGGCCTTTGGTGTGGGCGCGTTTGAGGAAGAGGATGAAGATATATATGCGCGAGATGATATGACAAGCTACGATTTCTCGCTGGGCGATAAACAAGCCAAGAAAAAAAAGGCCCAGTATGTGCAACAAAAAAATGTCATCGATGGTTTCAGTGAGGATAAAAGTGGTGCATCCTGTCAAACAGCCTTCTCCATCGATCTGCCACGTGATTATCGGCCACGTAATTGGCTGCAGCGTCGAAGTCGTTTTGCGCCCATAGATGAGAATCGTGCTAGACATCTGGCGAAGGATACTGAATACAAAAAGGCCGGACTGGGCAGACACGATTTGGATCCGGAACAACGTGCCAAGCTGCTGGGTGAAGAAACAGTGGCGACAGAGGAGCAAGCTCAGCAAGAGCAGCAACAGCCAAAGAAAAATCCTTTTAAAACAGCAACCAGCAATGAGCGCTGCAAATCCTTGCTTGAGCGTATAAGTGCAAAAAGCGACAACTTTACACGCGGTGGTCTCATTACCGCCACAGGAGAGGAGCAGTCCGCTCCGAAAACACAAGCACCTGAGGTGCCACTAAGCACAGACGTGCAACAGTCCAATGCAGAGCTGTTGGAAAAGGCAGCTGCCAAGACGAAGGACTTGCGTAAGTAGTAGCCGAAAAAGTAGCAATTATTATATATATAAACTATATATATTTCTTTCCAGCTTCCGGCACGCCTAAGAATGGTTTTAAGCCCTTTTTAGGTGACGAGGCTAAACAGCAACGCTATGAAAAATTCCTGGAAGCCAATCTAAAAGATGATGGCGAGATTACAAAGCTATTGAGTGATATGCAGCCAGTTACGCTTTCGTTGTGGGACCGTGAGATGGAAAAGAAGGAATTCATACAGGCTGCAAAGATTTATAAGCCGCTGGCCGGCCTTATGCTCGATCGTTTCGTTTCTGAAGCCACAGTCGAGGAGGTGAAGAAAGAGGAAAAGGCTAAACCCGCAGACCAGCGTAAAATCATCATGGAACGCACTAAGGCAATGTGGAAGCCATGCGCCCAACTCTGCAAACGCTACAACATTGCCGAACCATTTGGAGGTGCTATGCTGGAGCCACCGAAGGAGATGAACAAAAGACCAAAAATCTCTATATTCGATTACTTGGAAACTTCCGTCAATACTAAAGCAAATTTCAAAACGCCTAGTATTATACCGCAGCACATAGTACCTCCCAAACCCCAGGTCGCAGAACTGCCCCAGTCCAGCATTTCTGTTGAAAAGCAGGCGCCAGATGTTGAATCAAATATGGCGACCGGCTCAGCTAAGATCGAAGACATCAAACACTCGCCTGCGCTTTCCATAACTAAACCTACGTTTGTGCCGAAAACAGCTTTAGAGCAAGCGGTAGAGGCTTCCAAAAACAAACATATCTCTGAAAAGACTGATCTCTTCAAAAGCATATTTGACGACAGCGACGAGGAGGAGGCGACGCCAGCAATGGCGCAGACTGCTCCTGAAGACAGGCTGGCCGAGATGAAAGCGGCTTTGGGCTTGCCCGGCAGCTCTAATGCAGCGGCTGTCAACTTGCTGAGGAACAATTCTCCACCGCGTGGAGTTTTTGCTGCGTTCTTCACAGAGCCAGCAACGGACGAACCAAAGTCAGTCCCCAAGAAAGCTCCAAAATTTGAGCCCATTCCTGGAAATCAGCTGAAGATTGCCTACAAATCGCGCGAGGAACGTCTAAAAAACGACAAGGAGCTGGCCATGGCTGATGTGCCCGCAGAAAACCTCTATGGACCCAGGCTGCCAACCCCCCAGGCGACAACCACTTCTCCAACAACAGCCCCAATTGTTATTGCTGAGGCAAATATTGACGCGAAGTTACAGCAGCTTTGGCAAAAACATGCGCCCAAAAAACGAAAAATTGAGAAGTGGGTGGAACGCAAGCTGAGCACCGACGACGACAGCGAAGACAGTTCCAGCACTGGTAGCAGTAGCAGCCATGATAGCACAGCACCATCCAAAAGTAAAAGGTCTAAAAAAACCCACAAGAGCAGCAGTAAAAAGTCCAAAAAACATAAGGAGAAGTCAAAGAAAAAGTCGAAAAAACGTGATAAGTCAGCACACAAGTCGAAAAAGAAGAAAAGCAAACGCTAATGAATGTTCAATAGGCAATAAACAAATTGCACGATTTTTAGTCTTAAGCTATTCGTTAAGCTTCAAAGTAAACTAAAAATATACCGGTTCGATTATTTCCCTACATATTAAAATCTCTAAGACGCATTCGAAAATGTATTTAAATTATGGTGTGGATTTAATAAGTGGGGGAGTAAAATGTTTTCCAATATACATTTGCTAGATATTCCCCTCTACCCAATATTTATAATTCCAATAATTGTTAAAATATGGGAAAACAATTTCCATTCTATTCTATAATTATTTCCTTTACCTAGGCCGGCAAAGAAAGCGGCAGAAGGTGTCTTTCTTTATAGATTGGTTAAACTTATTCCAAACATTATTTAAATAATGGTGTGGTCTTAAAATGTGGGGGAGTAATATTTTTTCCAATATACATTTATAAAATGTAAAAATATACATTAAACTTTTAGATGCATGATTGTTAATGTCGCTGGATATTCCCTTAGACAAACTGAATTTGAAATCCATGGCAAATATTTTCCAATATTTATGTTTCTCTCATTGGATTTCTCCACTAAACGGAAGTTGTATAGAAATTTTAGGGTAGTATCTTCAACACTGAATAAACACACAATGAATTAGTCAGTCAGTTAAAGCTAAAAGGTCGCTCAGGCAGGCAAATTATTATAACAATTTTATAAGCAATTCATGAAAACCAAATCTGTCCTCGAATAGAGAATTTTATATGAGTACTATGTATTTGCGGGAAATTATTATTGCTTTTGGTTGAAATGTAATATTAAGAACTCGACTATTATTTGCCAGTCAGACCATAAGAGTTGGTCCGGCCTGATCCCATTTCCGATGTCGGTAGTCTGCCATTTCACCCGTTTTGCTTTTAGTAGAAACAGAAATAAGTACAACAAGTGCTTCTCACCCGGAAATTAATTTAATTCTATTTAGTATATTGTTAAGATCTTGCAAACTATTTTATCAGCAAGTAATTTTTATGAAGTTCTAACTTCTTGCAAAAAGACCGAAAGCAGAGTGATCTAATTTAAGCCGAACCATTATCAATTCTGATTAAGAGCATGCTCAGTGTTAATAACAAATATATTTAATGAAATGTTAAATACATACGAGTATGTAGGTAAGTATTTTAAAAACAATTTCTGGTTGGCTAAACGATTGCAATTTCAATCGGAAATAGGAATACCAACTAAAGAAGAAGTTGGAATTGCAATCCTTTTACTTTTCAGGAGTAATTGCAGACAGGAACAGGCTTGAACATTTATAAATGTCCTCTAATCACGATATATTTATATTTGATGAACACCACCGTGCTATCAAATAACGAACATCACAACAGTTTGATAATACTTTGGTAAAAAGAAGAAAAAACTTTGTTTGATAAGCCATTATGCTTCTGGCTTTGAAACAAGAACACGGCCACGAACCGCTACAGTTAGCTGGGCAAAAAAAAAAAAAAAAGAATCTGAGCCTGAGCGAGTTGCTCGGCGGTTCACTGCTGATGGGCGCGTGTACTCTCGCTCTTGGATCTGCCCGTGTCTGTTGTGAGCGCGCGTGTGGGACTCAGTGTGTGTGTTGTGTGTGTGAGTGTGTGTGTGTTTCGCCGCTTTAAGCCAGCTTCAGTTCGAGTTTTGGTTTCGGTTTGCTTGGCCGTCTCGTCTCAGTCGCAAACTACGGGTAACCAAAGATAGACGAGTCAGCGCGAGGTTCGCAACGGTTAGGGGTCTCCGAAAACAGATATTAAAAGTTATAGAGCAGCGGTGCGAAGCGTGTGCAGACAAGATTGGCGGCTCGTAATGTCTGCCAAAGCGTAACGAAATTTTTTCAACACAACAAAAGCAGCAGTAACGGCCAGCAAAAAAAAACAACAACCATATATCATTAATGGCATTTTCTGCTTCGAGTTTTGTGAGTGTGTGTGCGTGTGTGTTTGTGTAAGTTTGTGTGTGTGTGTGTGAAAAAGTGAACAACAGTAAACAGCAGAAATGGCAAAATGAAAATGTATAAAACAAAAAGGTATGCTATATAGTATATTTTTGCTTAAAAATAAAATATTTGAAAGCAATTGCAATTTTAAATTGCAGGCCAAAAAGTTGTGCCACCAAATTGGCAAATTAAATGCTACAGCATTGAAAAATTGGCATTTACACACCTGCAATACACTATAAGCTATATGTATGTATGTATTAGTGTGTTTGCCGTTGCATAGCTGTAAACCAGTTGCCAATTGCAACGGCAACGTGTTTTTTTGTGGTCCATTACAAGACCACAAGTGGGGGGAAAATTGTTAAATAAATGCTCAATTAAACCCAAAAAATCTGCAAGAATTTCTAAAATCACACACATCAATTAAACCAAATATATAACAGGAAATGGTCAATTGAATATCAACAATTAGTGCAGCTTCTAAGCGTTGAAAACATGGTGCTTTTAGCTATTTGAAAAAAAAAAAACAATAAACATTGTGCATTGTTGGCCACAAAATCAAGTCACGAGTACTTCAATAAAGTTTCACAAAAAAGCAACACTAAACATAAATTCTAAAAAAATGAAATACTACTTTGGAAAAGTGAAGATCCAAAAATCATAAAGCTTTAGGTTTAATTGCCTTTTTGGTCAACTTGCTTATTTTTTGGCTAATAAAGCAATTTTATATCGTAAAAAAGTAAGACACACACACATAGGTATGCATATGGGCGCACATACATACGTACATGCATACAAACAAACTCGTATATATAGAGGCTGTGTGGTGGCATGATGTGAGATCATGCACAACTGCGAGCGTAAGATACAGAGAGAGCGAAACACACACACACACAGAGAGAGAGAGGGAGCGCGAGTCATGCTCTTGCTCTGCTGGAGCGTAAAAGTTAAGAAGGCCAGTCCAAAAAGCGAACTGTCATTGTATTGGCAAAAAAAAAAAAACAAAACAACAATAACAGCAACGCAAACAACCGTTTAAAAATAAAAATGCATATTTGACAGCTGTATATAAAAGTGTTTCAGGTTACGATAAATGTCCCAGCTCAGCTCAGCTGTGGAGGTGTAAGAAAAAGCGCGCGTCATTTCTTCAAAAAAGGCCAAAAGCTCTGAAAGCAGTCGAAACAAAAAGAACACAAATAACGACATGTAGTCAGCAGCGCAGCTAAGTTTTGTTTTATTTTAATTTGAAATGCTAATTAATGAATTCGCGTTTTGTTGTTCTCTACGTAAGATCGTGTGAGAAGGCGACGTCCACCACTTGTCATAATTAAGACCTATGGCTTAAACACATACTATACAGCAAAAACAACAAAAAGGCGTTTGATCTCCGGGTATGATTGTGTGTGCTTGGACTCAAATCATCCATATGTACATACATATATATACATACATATGTACATATGTATGTATTTGAGAGGTTCTGTTAGAGCTACCCAAGGCAATCAAGGTTGATGGCTTGTTTAGGCAAAAAGATCTGCCCTTAATGAGGCACAATACACGCTAATATCGTAAAAAAAAATTATTCAAAAACCACGCTGCGAGGAAAATGCTAAAGCTAAGAATCAAGTTAACGGTTTGAGCCGCCTTTAAAGTGATTTATAAATACGTAGTCAAAAAATAACAATAAGCAAAATGCATACCAATGCTATATGTGCATCCTAGGGACAATATAATCATGATATCAGAAATATAATATTGAACACAGTGGTCCCGAAATAAATAAAATGTTTATCCGTGATCTTTAAAAGATCTGTTTTTCTCTGTATTAAGCAGGTATATACATCAAAGTTGCAATACTTATGTAAATGAATGATGACTCTGGATGACTAAACTATAAAAAAAAGTACACGAATTTGTTTGTGGTGGCGGCTATGATACTTCAGATATTTTTTGGGAATAAGTCAAGTGATGCCAATTATTGAGCGTAAAAAACTAAATTAACAATTCAAACTAGCTTAATCAAATGCTGCTTAAAAGCAGATTTTTCATTTCTATAATTTACTAAGTGGACGAACTTCCGTACGATTTGAAATGGGTTTTATACTGTAATTTCTTTGGAAGAGATATCATTTCAATGTCTGCTATGTAATATAGGAGCATATGAGTTTTTAGCTTGGGCGCTTTTATTCTTTTTTCACTTGATTTCAAATTCTGTTTTGACATTTTAAAATAAATGAACAAACAAATATTACACAAAATTGATCTGTATGAATAGTTGTATCTATGTATATCAAGAACGGTATATAAAACAAACGGTATTTAAACATCTCCAGAACTGATGGGAAAATACATAACTTGCCAACACAGGCCAAGAGTGTGGGCGACTGGAGGTCCATGACCATGAAGTTTAAATACTTTTTGTTAATATTTTTTTTGTTCATATTTGGCTAACAAAGACAACAAAGTATATTGGATAATTTATTGTCTATTTCAATTTTCATTTTTTGTTGTTTCTTAAAAGAGAGTGCTTGCATTAATATGGTGATCCTAGTCTTCCATTAGTTTCTCAGTGCATTCGTAAATACATGAATATACATACTTAGATGTGTATGTTTTTTGCTTGAGTGCTTGGCCATGTTTTATAGCAATTTAAATATTTTATGCAGTCGAGCATGGTTGGCAACCGTTATAGCCATCAATGAGAACAACAACAAACAACTATTATAAAAATGTACGATAAACATCGAGCTCTGCGCATGCTCAGCCAATTTGTGCTGCGCTGCTCTCTCTCGCTCTCTTTCTCTCTGAAAAATAACAACAAAATTTATACAGCGTGTTATTTGCCAGCTTACGATATTCGTCAAACTACCTGTTGATTTGATTCTTTTGTTATGAAGGTAGATGCCTATACAAACAGATACTATATGTAAATATGTATAAACGTGCATACATAGTTTGTTTGTTGTTGTCTGCACAAACATTTTCCGCATTTTTTCATGTAGCAAGGTGAGGCCAAGCCGCAAACGCTATTCAGAACACGCACACACACACAAAAGGCAGTTGGCACTATGTATGTATGTATGAATGCGCAAAAAACAGGTAGACATTGGATATGTGTGGTAAAAAAAACTTTCATTAACATTGCCAGCCAGCGACCATTAGCTCTGTGTTTGGGCTGCTAAAAGAAATTCATCATTTGTTGTTGAGACTGACAAGCGTCGTCAGCGTCAGCGTTGGCGTCAACGTCAGCTATAACGTCGTGACGTTACGTCGCTACGAATATCGTAAATCAGCTGCATGGCATGATCGTTTCAAAAAGCTGAGGCGCGCTTAGTTGTTGTGGTCGCTTGCTTGTGATCACTTAGTTTGTTTGTTGTTGTTATGATTTTGTGTTTGGGGCTTTGTCATGCCAGCAATGTCTTTTTATTGACCATTTCATTTGCGCGTCGTGCACTTTCCTTTAACGCAACATAAAACACTCAAATAAATACATGCATACATATACATACATACATATATACTTGTACAAAGCATATATGTAGGTAGAGTGCGTTTGTGTTTGTGTAACCGAGTTTTAATGGTTTTCACTACTTTTACCAATGGTATTATTATGATTTTTTTTTTTTTACAGTTCGTTATAAAAACTTGGAAATTGTGCGTCCATTGCAAGTTTTGTCGCGTATCTCACAGATAAAACAGACGCGCATCCGCCTCAGCAATAGTAGCAAAAGCAACAACAACCACAACAACCACAGCAACAAAGCAGTAAATTGCACAACCAAAAATTATTGCGTGTGTGTGTGCCTCTTCTACTGGTTGTCTATCTTCACATCGTCGTCGTTGCTGTGCTAAGCCAAGATGTGTGTATCCAACAGATACAAGTCATCAGCATTAACAACAACAATAACAACAAAAGTAGCAGCAGCAGCAGAAGCAATTGCAGCAACGTCTTACCAAAGTCTGGGCACGCACTTTGAAGTAATTGCAGCGACTGGCCGGAGACTATAATGAGTCAAAATGCGGCTGATAGTTTGGTGAGTAGACCCACAAAGATGGCAATCATTTTTTTCTTTAACTTAACTTAACTTACTCGTTTATATAGAAAGTAAACGAAAATTTGTAGAAAGTAACCAAAAGTAACTTGAAAGTTTTCCAAGGTGCATACGAACTAGGCGTGTGAGTTTGTGTATTTACTCTTAAAGCTATTTATAGACATTGAGCTAAATCTTTGGCCCATTTGAGGTGCTAATTGCTAATTGTTTTGAGCAAATATTTGTCTTATCAATAACTCTTTGAACTCAGACGATAACTTGTGTGCAAACATACATACATATGTTCATATGCTTGTAGGTGTAGGAAGGCGCAAAAGTTGTAGCTACTTTATTTAAGAACTATCGAGGTGTAGTTTATTAATATAGCTGAGGAATGTAAGAATGCTTCTTTTGGTGATTTTTTGTTTTAATATATGATTTCAAAAGAGTATACTTTTATTAAATCATGTTTTGTTCTGCATTATAAAACAAAAGAGAAGACCATAAAATCACACCAAGTTTGGCGGCTCTAGCTCATATATTTTCCGAGATCTTGTCGTTCATACAGTCGAACAGACATTTTTCTCAACAAAATCACAACCAACATGTATAATATATTTGTATTTGAATTATGCAATTGTAAGCATGTCCTAAAATTTGATAAGGCATTCTATAATATTCATATAAACTGTCCTGTTCCCATCTCTGTATCAGTTTGAAAAGTAAATCGAGTAAGCTGCAGATTCCATTTTCTATAAAGTTCGTAGAACTTGATTTACTGACAATCTCGCCTTATTTTTCTTCACGTTGCCTTCAAACTTATGTCGAATATTCTTTGTCATAAATTCCTAATTGAGTTACATAATCTCTCACACAAAAATTAACATTTTATGGTTTCTTTTTTATGGTAATTATCTTTTCATCCCGGTCATTCGACATTGCTTTACAGATTTAAAGCCCCCTAGATTTTCGTTGCTTTTCTTCATAGCCCTTATCAGCGACTACGTGACAGCCTCTCAATTGGTGATGAATGTGGCTGGGGCCCTCTTATGCACATGTGATGTCTTTTGTTATTGCATTTGTGAGCCCACATTTAATTGATCAATTGGTTGAGGGGTTTTTCTATTTGTTCGGCATATGCATGTGTTTGCCTTTTACAAACAACATGTTTGATTGGCGCTTACATAAATTAACGTTTATTAATATTTTATTGTCGCTCGGCTCCGCTCGACTCGCTCTCTCTTTTATTGTCGTTACAAAAGACCCCAACATATACATATACGTGTTTGCACGATTATATCATAGACTGGCCCGACAAACCGACAATGTTGCATGTTTTTCCCTGTTCGGATAGTAACTTGATATGCCCTCGTGGTAAACTTTAAAATTGTTTGTAAACCAAATTGAAAATGTATAGCTAAATGTTTAAATTGTCTTAAAATATTTGGGAGGCCATAAATAACATTGATAAATGCACCGGTAATGAAAATAAATGATAGTGGGGCAGTCAGAGTTGGAGAAGCTTGATTAATGATTAATTATCTTTGGACAAAATTGCATATATTATTAGTATTATATAATTTTAAACACAGGCATTTATAAAGCCATCGAGCAAAGTGAAGTGATGAATGACATAGCTGTCCTTTTAGTTTTAATACTTTGGTATTAATATAATATAGTTTTATTAGTTTAATTCCCGTATATTGCCAAATTTAGGCAACTTAATTGAAATTAAAATTTATGGGAACTTGAAAAAAGTTTAAGGCAGTTCAAAAAAGAACATTTTCAAGATTCTGGGTCCGTAATTTTTCACTGAACTCCATCTACCTACAACCTTGCTCAGAGTTATAAACCAAACCCCAAAATGTATGTGGGGATCCTCTTGATACAGTGGCCCAATTAAATATGTGCTGATATGTGTTCGCCAATTATCAAGGATTATTCAATATCACTAATCCGTCAAAGGGAATCTCTTAAAATTGTAAGAGTTGGGCCAAAAAAATCATTTTACTTTAGTTTGAGAGAAGAGGCGAGAAAAAATAAACAGGAAAGTCACATCTGGGGACTCTTGGGCGCCCGTTTGGTTTTGTGCAGAATCTCTTAAAACTACACTTACTTGCTTGCAAACAACAGATAACCCATTGAAATTGGCAATGAGATCTGTTGCCAATAGATTCGCCGCAGACTCCAATTTGCTGTAAGGAGCGAAATCACTTGAGAACTATAATTAAATTTATTTTCTCCTTAGTTAACCAGTTTTCCTATTCCCATTCGCCATGAAAACTTTTTAATGTTGCAAATTAAAACTATAAACAACATGAATTGCCAAGAATTGATTGAAAAATGTATTTTTTGGAGCACCCATATTTTTCACTTAACACTTAATTTTTTAAACCTTGGATCAATATATGATGCCTAAAGTTTCGATATTATAAAGTAAGCTTCTTTCCAATAGTTTAAAAAGTTATTTAATAACTGTTTGACTTTTAAATATTTTCGAAGAACCGTAGAAGAACCGTACGTAGATTATTCTTTTTTTTTTAAGTCGGTTAAAAAAGTGATCTCAACTGCGATATTAGAAGCAAACAAAAAATATTCATACGTTTCAACATACTAAATAAAAAGTCGCGAATTAAAGAAAAATGTAAACAGATTTTCCACTCTACAGCGCTATAAATTGTAGTGCATTAGCCACACATTACAGCCGGCACATCGCTAGCGAGCAGACAAGTGAGCATAGGTGAGTGCGACATTCTAATGAGAACTCGTGAGAGTCACATTGAGAAGCAAAAGCGCTCATTAAAAACATAAACAGAGCGTAAATGTCGAAGCGAGTGATGGTGGTGGATGAAAAATTCCCACGACCCCACCGCTGACTAATCAAGGTAGTTGGTCGCGAGCGGGTGGTGGGACTGAGGTGCGTCTTAACGCCGACGCAAAAAATATGCTCCCTCTCCCTCAGTTTGCTTTACGAGCATTGAGGCTATCCAGGAGAGCTTTAACGACTCGCAACCCTCGTCGGATTCCAAGTTCTGAGAGAGAACTCGTCAATGGCGTCCACAGCTTGTGCTTATGGGGCGGTTGCGATTGCCGTTGAGTGCGTTTTCGACTGTTGTTGGCGGCGGTTGTGTGCCGCGAGTTAAGTTTGTTGGAGCGCAGAACGCGTACACCCTTCCACCCCGTCTCGTTATTCTCGTCGGCGCCATCGTCGTGTTTAGCAAGCAAATTTTTGTTTTCTGTGCAGCAGCAGCATTTTGTATATAATCTTGTATTTATACATAAATATTTTGAGTGTGTGTCAAAACAAAACGAAACAAATTAGAAAAGAATTTAGACAACAACACAAACAACAATCGCGACTACAAAGAGGTTTTTGTGTTTATGTAAAATAAGTGCAGCAGCTTCCTCAACTGAGAGAGGAGTGTAAGAAACATAATGATAAATAAAAAAATATGTACACAAATGAAATTGTGTAGGCAGGCGCCACGCTGCGCATAACAAACAACGTGATAAAGTGAAATAGTAAAGCTGATGCGAAGAGAGGGAGAGAGCGAAAGGCGAGAAAATAAAAGTCAAATTGTGCATTGAATTGAACGAGAAAAGCGTCAAGGAGTTTGCAAATAAAAAGTGCAACGAACTCTTCCAGACAGAGCCCCGAGGGCTCGACGGTGACGGTGACGGCGACGGTGCGGCAATTGACGCGCATCTTGACTCACCACCAGCAGCAGCAGCTGAGGAAGAGACAGCGGCCGAGGGATTTCAGAAAGGAAGAAAATTAGCTTTTTGTATTACACAATTTCTTAGACATGCTGATGTTCTTGACGAGTTTGGTGCGTACGGCTGTTCAAATAGAACGACAGTAACAGAACTACTGCATCAACAACCACCAAGCAACCACCCACATAACCACCACATACAATACTAAGAACCACAACCACATCAAACGCTATCGAGGAGCTGCTAAATATCGATTTTGCTTACATATATCCCATCATCGAACTGCATTGCAAACAAAAAGAAAAGCCCAACAAAACCAAATTTGAGGAAACAACAAAAGTATAACAAAATAATAATAATAATAATAATAGAAAAGAATTTTAGTTTCAAGGAAAAAAGTCGATCTCAAATGGTAAAAATAAAAATTACAATCACAAGCACAAACAAAAGCGAAAAGCGCGCATGCAAAAAAAAACTACAAATATTTAACATTGTGGGTGGATTGCTAATGTTGTTATAGTTCTTGTTGTTTTTGTTGTTGCCGATGCCCCCCACAAAAATGCTTGCGGTGGGCTTGCCAGCAGCAGCAGCAGCAACAACAACAATAACAACAACAAACGGAAAGTCCACGCCAAAATGTGCGCGCTTTTTGCCAGCCTTGCCTTCATCTTCTTCCTCTATTTCCCGCTTCCCCACGATTTGTTGTACTTGATTTTTATTGCATTTGGCAATTGTACATATGTACTTATATGTACGTGTATATAGCTATTGCTTTGCTTTGTCGCTCTTGTGCCGGATTCATAAACAAAATGTCAACAACAATTATGGATGTTAAAATAGAAATAGAACTACAAAAGCAATGACGTGTAAACTTTACGCGTAGGTGGATCCTATTCTTCAGATTTCTTTGCCCTCGCCGCTAATCAGTGTTATTTACACTTGATTGAACGATTTATTTGGCACTCGCTTCTATTCAGCTATCGATTAATCACGCCTTAGCAGGGATAATTAACTGACTGGACAACGAGAGTGCATTTAAGTGTAAGACTAACGGAAAGATATAAATAGCTCGAAATTCTAATTTCGATTAATGAGGGAGGTTCTCAATGTTTATTTATTGTTGTCTATGTTTTGAAAACAGAGTTCATTGAGCTATAATTTATATATAGGTTTACAAACATGTCTCAACAATAAATTTATACGTTTATTATAAAATATACGTTTAAATCTCTAAATGCAATTTCACAACTACAGCTCCATAGGATGGACCTTAAGAAATCTTGGCTATTGTGACTAATTATTGCATTTGATAGAAACTGGGAGAAAAGTCTATACTTAAAAGGGCAAAGGTACTTACCTTTCCTCATGTAGTGTATATCCTGCCTAAAAAAGGAGTAAAATATTGTTTCAGACAAATATTTTCCCTTTCGAGCTGCAATTTCCGTCCAAAATTATTTTTGAAATAAATCCAGCAGCAGAATTTTAAATTAATTTTAAATTTTAGTTTAATCAGAGCTTCGGATGGGGTTTCTCATTTCATGTAATATGGGCAGGAAAATAAATAAATAAATGTTGAGGTAGGCCTTGAATATTGTACATTATTTAAAATATTTCATCGACTTCCATCCAATCTTTTATCATAAAAAGCATTTTTATTCATTAAGAGACAATCCACACATCGACATTACTTCATGCTTGACTTTTGAACCCACAGCACCGGAGCTCGCGGCTTCGAAATGCTAATAAAAAGCTTGAGCTCTACCACAAAAGATACTAAACTTCTGTATATACTATGTCTGTATGTATATTGTATGCAAAACGAAATCCATTTCTATCACATTTCCCATGCTTGCTCAACAAATAAACAAAACATAAAAATAATTTCGGGAAAAAACGAGAAAAATCATTTGTGGTTTTTGTGCGCATCGCTCAATCTTCAACTCAAGTTGATATTTCTGTATCCGTTTTTATTTTTTTTTAGATAAGTATATAGCGAGCATAAATCATTTGTGCTGCAGAGCGGATGTGGTTTGATAATACACAGTCGCAGTTGGTCGACCCAGGGCCCTGCGGGGGGGACTGTCAAGCTCAGTGCAGATGCAGTCAAATGTAACTGACAAACAAACGCGCCCACGAACAGTCATTTACTCAGTCAGTCAAACATGAGACGACAGCCAACAGGCTTTTTCTAGAATTCTCCGTACAAATGTATTTTGCTGGTGTCTTTCGTGGATATTGTTACTGTCACTGCCGTTCGTGTTGTCGCTGCCCTGTCTGTTGTCGTTTCTGCTTCTCAATGCAACAACAGCAGCGACTACTCGTGCCGTGCCACGGACCACTGCCACTGTTACTGCAACAGCCTATAAATACATCCAACATCTACATTGCACCACCCCCTAAAAATCTGCTGACCATTGTCCGCCATTGCGCTTCGTTTTTTATACACTTTGATGTGCGGACCGGACCGGACCGTATCGGATCCTCTCCCCCACCTTGTCACCCTCTCTGCCCACCTAGAGCTATTTTTGGACCATCTTATGTACTTGTGGGCAGCCAATGCAATTCAATTCACCCACTTGTCGCCCACGTGCCCATTGTACATAAGTTTGCAGTAAACACTTGAACATCGTCAGGAAAATTACGTAGAATTTCCGCTCGAAATTCTTAGGAAAACTATTTATTTGTTTATTTCGTCGACAAACACAGACTGTTGAACTAAGTAAAATGATGGTGAAAAGCCTAAAAAATATACAATCAAAATTTCACACACACACACACACAGGCGTAACTATTTGAATTCGTATACTAGTGCTACTGGGGAAGCTTATCATTCAGAGAACTAGATGCCAGCAATAGAAATAAAAATGATTTAGCATTAAAAATAAAATAAATTAGCAATAAAAAATTAAAATAAAATCGAGAGATAATGTAACAGTCGACTAAGCTCGACAGTCCTGGAGTTAACTTGTTTTCATCAAATTTAAACGGAGTTTGATAATTATTTATTTATTTTATCAACAAACAAAGTCGATGTAAAAAAAATAATTTACATTTGTTTTACGTATGCAAGTTTAGTTAATGTTACTTCGGAATTGTGGACAGTATTGGCAAAATTCTGAAATGGGAAAGAAAGGGGAAAAACGCAAGAAACTAAAATAAACCCGTTTTGTCTAGGGACTACAAGAGTCTACATACTAGCATGTTAGATCGATTTTTCTCGTCATGCTGACTAAGAATATTATTCACTTGATGTGGTCGGATATGCTTCTTTCTTTCACAAACTTATAGAAATAAATATGAATACAAAAATTTGAAATAAAAATGCAATTACTGAAGAGTTTCTGTAACTATGCTGGATAAGCTGCCAGTACCTTTCAATATTTTAAAGCCTGATATACATATGTACAATAGTAGTTACATAAAACTAACTTAATCTCACAAAATATGATGTTGAGGTTGAAGAACTTCCTCTTTCAAATAAGAGTCAATTTTTAAAATCCTTGGTGAACGAAAAGTAATATTCATTTTAAAATGTGTTCCTAGTACATTGATGTATTTCTGAGCATAGTCTGTTCATTCCATTCTGTTGTGACTCCCTCAGCTGCTTTAATCGAAGTTTTTTAAAATTAATTTAATGAAAATTTTTCATGTCACCGTATTTTAAAAGTAGGTTTTTATTTTTGCTTAATTCAATACGTAACAATTCCAATTTACCAGTTTTTTTTTGTAGTATGTAGAGTATATAGAAAACGTAATGCAAAAGATCCCGACTTGAAACAAAATTGAAATTATACAACTTGTCGTTTTATAAATACAAGTGTCCGCTGATTAGTCTCTATGGTGGCATTAGCTCTGAATACAATTTCTCCCAGGCGTACAGAGGTCAGCGACGAAACTCACACTATATAGTATATAGAACATACCAAGTATATGTATGTATATAGAGACAGTAATATGATGGAATTAATTCCCAGTTTCGCGGCAATTGCGTTTTTTGTCGGCAAATGACATAATTCTACTTTATTTCTTTATAATTGTCTCCAGCCGGCTGAAAAACATTTGACAATTGGCATTAAATCATATAAGGTTTTAGCTATAATTTTATAATTAGACGTGTTTTTGGGTTTTCGCATTGAATTTCTCATGAATCATGTCTCGAGCTTCGGTAGCTCCCGTTCGCCCATTAAAATGAGTCGAGTTTTTGTTCTGAATGCAAATAACGACGACGACGGCGTTGGCGTCTGTTTGTTTTTGATATATGCATACATATATCGCTATATACTTATATACGAATACGCATTGTATGTGGAGGTGAGTGTATGTGTATAGGGGTGTGTTTAGCATTCGTAATAATAAACGCGAGTCTGGTTCAGGTACGATGTATGTGCATATTGATTAGGGGGCATGACAAACACGGGCTGTATAATTGTATCATGGCTCTGTTCTGGGTTGAACTTGTGCGGGTTGAGAAATTAGATCGACCATAATTAACATAAAGCAATCAAAGATGTAACCTAATAAACAGCAATAAAGCGCTCCTACAAAGGTATCATTACTTCTTCGCCTTCAGGTGTCTATGGCTTCTCAACTGAAAAATCATGACTAACTTGTAAGTCGCGTCATCTTTCAAGCGAACACTAGTCAGTGGCACGAAATAAGCTCCCTTTTTCGATACACTATATGATTTCAGTGATATTACGTTAGTATAGGCCATTAGTACAATTTCCATACCTAATGACTGTTTGTGACTATCTGCAGGGTCTATGAGGTGCTAGGGAAACAAACTAGAATATAAGCAAACTAATTATTGCAAGGTCCCAAGCGCTTTTGTGAACTCAAACTAAGGTGGTTATGGTTTAGAAATGCATGAATAATGAAAAATTGTAGGAAACAAAGCATGTTGAAGGACTTCAAGGTAGAGTTGATAGAAAAAGTACTGAACAATATGTAAATCTCAGCAGAAACTCACTGTTATTATCGAACTACGAAAACGAATAATTGTGGATAACTGTATTTGCAGAGTCTGCTATGAGTTCGAGAAGACTGTTAGGTAGATGTTTGCACTTGAAGATGAAAGATGAGCTCAAGCAAACCATAAAACTAGTAGCTCTATATCGAATCTTAATCAAAGGGTACCAAGAACATCGGATTATTCAGCTTCTAGTGAGTTAAGAAACTAACTTTAATTACTATTTCCAATACATTCAGAGCTTTATATTAAATGTGGAACTAGGTTGTTCCACCATTTCAATGGTTTTTATTATTTCGAATACTTTTATTATTACTTCAATGCTTCAAAATTGTAAGCTCTGCTCTTTGTGTCATAACGAATCAAAGCTGAGCTTATTTATTTATAGCAAAATAAAAATAGTCGGTAATATAAGTACTGCTCGAATTTCCCAGTATCGTCACTTGATAAGTGCTTACGACCTACCTCAAGCAGCTCAGGTTAACCGCAGACTCGACTTAAAGTAAATACGGAATATTAAACTTAAGTTGTACATCGTGTTGATCAGAGTGTTGTTCATTCTTGGTTTCTTGCTGAATATTTGAAACTGTTTAATATAATAAGAATCAATTGTTTCTACTTGTTCCTCTCAATATATTAAGACTGTATAATTATTGGTGTAATTTTTTATTAAAAAATGTAATAATTTAAGCAAATGGAAGTACATGTTTGGCAAATGTTTCAATTGTGGCGCATTATAAATATGATTTGCAAATCATTCACTAATGATTCGCCTATTCATTGTGATTGCTTGTCACACCCAAATCGGCTTTGAAGCCTACTTTGAGATTCGTTCGCCTAAGGCCCCTACAAAGTTACAGTATTTTTGTCGCCCTAAACATATGTACAAGTATGTATATGTATATATGCCAGAGATGTCATTTGTTTGAGAGAAGAGAAACGTATGTGGTACGTGACTGATTAACTGGCGATTTGGTTTTATTTTATTGCCGTAGATTTCATTTTATTATTTCCTGTGGCCTCTGGTTTATGCGTCTATTTCGAACATTATGGGGCGTTTTGAGGGCGTGTGTGAACGAAAGCGTTTGCTAAATTTAATTTATTGCATCAGAAAAGATGAATAATAAGCTTAAGAAATGCCCAAACATTCACATTCATTAACATGCGAGTATGTATATATGTCTGTATAGATGTATATTAATCGTGGCACGTTTTATGTGGAAAGCTCTTTAAACGCTTTGAGTTTTGTGAGATTTGAAATGCTTGTCTCGACCATTGACTTGGTCTTCTACGCTTAATCTACCTGGGTCACAAGGCACGTTTACACACTCACACACACACACACACACAGAGAGATACATAGATATATGCCACATAGCTGCTGATCTAAGATAAGCCTGAAGTCAGGCAAATGACAGTTTCTTTTGAAATGTAGCGACGGCCATTAAGAAAGAGTTATATTTTTTCGAGACTGACCTCAAATATATATATGTGTAAAAACTTATATACCTTCTATATATGTGAATTGTTGTTATACAAAAACAACAACAAAACGAAGCAGAAACTGCGCTGCAAATGAAAATGAAAATGAAAATTAGATATGTTCGAGGAAAACAGCAGCATTTTCCAGCAGGTCTAAACATTTCCGTGCAGAAATGAGAAACATTTGTGGGGAGGAGGGGCATGCAACATTTGGCGAAACGTACGCGGCTGTGTATGGGCGGGTAACAGCAACAACAATAATAACAACAACCACAAAAGCAATACCAGCAGCAGAAACAATAATAATAATTTCCTGGAAACTTGCCCACTTTTGCGGTTTTATGTTGTTTTTGCCTCGAAAGCAATGTAAAATTGTTCAACAAAGTTGCGCTGCAAGCATCCATATTTCCACCATATACATTATACATACTCGTACATATATGTACATATTTGTATTTACACACACACATACAAGTATATATGTATACATGAATAGTCGGCCATTGCCTCATTGCAATTGGGAAGTGAGCAATACGAACAATCAAGAAAGTCATTTTGGCCAAATTTGGCGAGTCCACTTGAGTTGTCATGAATGTGCGTCAAAAGACGGCATTGCCGCTTGCGAGATGTGGCGGCAACAACAGCAGCAGTTGTTGTTGTTTTTCACTGCCTATTTGGCTATTTGTCTATGTGTCTACATATTTCTGTACAATTCGTGTGCTCATAAATGAAATTGTTCAAACAACTTACAGCACAATAGCATTTAAGCGTTAAACAGCATTTTTTTACATTCAATTGTCAAATTTGTTGTCAAGGTCAGGGGTGTGTACAAGCCATAGGCATTGTGTAGATATAGACATATATCTATTTGTGATCAACTCAAGTGTTTTGTGCATGTGAATGAACTCGCACTCAGCTCAACTTGAACTGTGGCTGCTCATGTTGATGCCCTGCCCCAAAGCCAATGCCAATCATTGAACCGATGCGACCAAAATAATTTACGAGCATGTACATAGAAAGCTCGCTGTGGGTTTTACTCGAATTCATAAAAATATTCTAACCGAAAGTGTTATGTTTAGTGACTGCTGCTTTAAAAGCCGATTGCAAAGGACAAATATTTTGAACTGAATTTTTGAAAGAAATATTAATAAATTAATAAATGTAAAAGCCATTAGTAATGTTTGGACTTCAAGCTCCATTTACATTATAAATAAATTCTTTCTATAAAAGATTATTAATAAAGGAACACAAATATTAACAAATTAATAATGAAATATTTGGACTTCAAGCTCCATTTACGTTATCAATAAATTCTTTCTATGAAAGATTATTAATAAAGGAACACAAATATTAACAAATTAATAATGAAATATTTGGGCTTCAAGCTCCATTTACATTATCAATAAATTCTTTCTATGAAAGAATATTAATAAAGGAAAACAAATATTAACAAATTATTAATGTGCAAGCCAGAAAAAAAAAAATGTTTGGGACTTAAGCTCCATATACACATTATTAATAAATTCTTGTTAATAAATAAAAATGAAAAAGTAATTAAAAAAATAATAAAATAATATTGAAACGGACTGAATGACTGAATGAATGAATAAAACATCTTTAATTTACTTCTTACATTTTATTAAAATAAATTATATAAATTCGTTGTTGTTCGTTAACTGTCGAACGGAAAGAATTCAAAATCTTTGAGAATAAAGGACAAGCTATTGTTTTCAAATTGATAAAAGGCCCGCAATTTAATTTAACATTTATAAGAAATAACAATCAATAATTATCAATTCAAAATTCAAAATAAATTAGCAAATCTGTTTCGTTTTATCTGGACCATTTGCTAAATATGTATCTGTATTTAATGCAAACAATTCTTTTCTGTAATTGATTCTGTTTGGTGGGGGGGTCACTTGAATGCTGAAAAAATATATTCAAGATCTAAATTCATCGTGTGGTAATATCTCTGAATCGTTAAATTAATAGTTGCTAAGATGCTTCTTCTCTGCTCAAGCATAACTGATATGCCTAGTCGAACTTAAATAAAATAGGGGGCTCTCAAGGCGCTGCGAAACATTTAACAATGCAATAAAAATCAAGTACAAGCCCAACCATCCATAAACTCCTTGTATGTATGTGTGTGTCTATGAGGGGGATCCTCAGCTGAACTTTGAAACAAATTTACAGAATTTCACAAGCCAAAAGAGTTGTAACTGCGCTCAGAAACAACAACAACAGCAACAACAACAGCAACAAAAACGTCAGCCAACGCTTATCAAGAGCCACACTTGCGCCTATCAGTTGCAAGACCTAAGCGGTTACAATCGCGCCCTCATGCCACCGCTGGAGAACACAGACTTGACCCCGCTAGCCTGGCGTCATGTCAACAACAACAGCAACAACACACAATGTGCCTATCACCACCACCAGCAGCAGCAGCAGGCCAAGTCGCCAAAACATGGGCAGCAGCAGCAGCAGCTCCAACAGCAACATCATCATCAGCATCATTACCATCATCACACCTGTCCGCGCCAGAGGAAATCAACAACAAAAACGCCCCCCTGCACGCCCACTTCGACGCCCACTTCAGCGCCCTGCCAACAGCGACGATCGCGCTCCTCCTGCTCCGCCAAGACGCGTCGCAATAGCTCGTATCATTCCTATGATGATCTCGACGCCTCATCCGCGATGGCCGCCGCGGAACGCAAAGTGGTGGCCAGTCTGAAATATTTGTGCGCCTGCACGGGCGCCACCCTGCGCAATCTGTCGAAGAAGACCAAAGATTTGCACGCCAAGAACTATACCTACACAAAGGTAAACTATATATCCACAGTATAATCATAGAGGTGCCTGCATTATGTTCGTTTTCGTCATCGTTTCGTTTAGCTTCTGTTTACTTTCCCTCTTTGTGGAACTGTGGATGTGCTGGCGGCATCGATAACAGCGGCAGGTGCCAAGTAGCGATGTCGTCGCCATCGCCATCAACATTTCCATTTCCATCGATTCTACACTCAATTAGCCAGTGCTGTTGCGCTTTGTTTTGCTAAATTGTTCTTTTCTCGTTTGGTAATTGTAGCCTTATTTTGTTGCATGTGTTTATAATGTTTTCAATGGTGTTTATTGTAGTTGTTAGCTCGAATATATATATATTTTTTTTAAGCGACCCACAAATGAGTAACTCTCTCATATCGACATTTGACTTTATATATGAAAAACAAAATGTCTATGTTTACTAATAACAACTAATAGTTAAATTATTTTTATTTTATAATTATTGCATTATTTGTGTCTATGTGTCTCAAAAGGACAATTATTTAATTGGTTAATGTGCCTTCAGCCACTACGCATCTTACAAAATACAAGATTAAATGGGGCTTCGATGATTAATTTTTTTTTTTTTTATTATTATTTATTTAGGATTTAGGTTACGTCCACGTTAGTTACGAGAAAAACGCCATCACCAATTCTGTTTTTACTGCGATATTATACTTTAGATATTAGCCTTAATTCTGGTTAAAAATTGTGTGATAGATTTGTATTAACTGGTATTTTCATTGGCAAAAAGTTGTAAATACTGTCGTCCTTTAGCAGTGTTGAAGATCAAAATTAAAATTGAAAATGTACTTTATGGTAAAAGATTTGTCAGTGGGAACATTTTAGGGATTATATATCAAGAGCGTGGACTGAAAATCGCTGACCATTACTAAATTAGATACATTACCGGTGAAGATTATGGTGAAGATGGCAGTAAGTGAAGAGACAAAGGTGCTCTCTTCTGTTAAAGCAATGACCAATGGATCGAGCTAGCAACTAAAGGATCCAAATTTCTTTCATTTGAGTCTTGAAATATTCTTGAACTAGCTACTGGTAGCGGACCTTCTTGTTCCCTACTAACGACTTGGTTACAAATGGGTAGTTTTTTCTCTCAGAGTATGTCCCCTTCACAGACCCCTCTGAGGGCATGCCTCGAGCCACTTAATGTACAGGAAGGGGGTACAGGCTTAGCGTCTAGGAGATTGTCCATTCTCAAGTTCCTAGATATATGTCCATGGAAAGAATTGCTAATCTAAGAACAGTAACTGACATAAGCTGAGTTTTATTGGAAACTTTATGTTGCTCAGGTTTCACGGAAGTTTGATATAAAAAACTTTTGATTTGGTTTTCATCTCAAAGCTGTTGAAATAAGGTTTTGGTGTTTGCTAATCTCTAGAAATAAGGAAGACAGAACTAATGAAGGGGGCATAGGCTTAGCATGCCCATTCTTAAGTGCCAAGATATATGTCCATAGAAAGAATTGCTAATCCAACTGATTGAAACTGAGTTTTCCTTTGAACTTTAATATTGCTCAGGCTTCAGGGAAGTTTTATCTCAAACACTTTTGGTTTGGTTTTCATCTGAAAACTGTTGGAATACAATATGGAAATTTGCTAATCTCTAGAAATAAGGAAGATTGGACTTTTGGACTACAACTTTTACTTTTTTTTAAAAGATGAGTACCCGGGTGCCAGTTTTGAGTATTTTATTGCCAAATAATCAAACATTTATTGAAATAGAAATACAATTCGATTAATTGCCGAATTCCCAAGCTACTCCAAAGTGTTAATTGTGTTTGAATTTGACTTCCTAGTGTGCTAAACACTACTTTGTTGCCATCAATTAATGGCCATTCTTTAAAGTGCGTACGCATGTACTATATGCCTTCCATAATTCTAAACAAATATTTAGCGTTTTGACGCACTTTAAACCTAACTGAGCTGCCATAATGCGTCATTAATTAGATGAACAAAAGAGAAACAACAAAAATAAAACAAATTTAATGTACATACATACGTACAAACATATGTGTTTATCATTATTTGCTCAGACATTTCAACAAAATTCACACAAAAATGCCAAATAAATTAAATAAATACAGCCATTCACTAAACGCCACAGCAACAAAAACAACAACAACAAACGTTCTTTTTGGCAACAGCAGCAGCAGCAGCAGCAACAACAACATAAAGAGTCAAACATAAGACCGATCTCTCTATACTCGTAGTTGTTGGCATGAATCGATTAAAGTTGCCTTCACACTGAGCATCTATTAATGGACACACATCCACACCCACGCAGATTACTCGTAAGTGTGCAGAAAATTAGAGTTAAGCATGCTACTTGTACATGAGAAACATTAAAAGCACAACAAACAATTGCAGCTACTAGTACGTGTAGTTACTGTTGTTGTTGTGTAGTTAGTTGTTGCTATTTACAGGAAGCAGCTGCCGATTCAGACCTCAGAACTCAGTTGTTTTGGCAGCTGTTGCTCGTCTCGGTGTTTTGCATTTTAATGGTACGGGGTGTGTTTAAAAAATATCGAGAATTTTGTATTTTCTCGAAATAGCTTTGTTTATTTGTTCGCTTAAGTATTTTCCACTAGCAGCTCTTTGTTCGGTCGCCATAACACTCTTTGAGTTCACTTTCTTTCTCTCGATTTTTCGGCTTTTTATACACTTCATAATAGGCATAATTAGAGAGCTTAGATTTTTTGAGAATAGAGGTAAATAGCCATAATTAGAGAGCTTAGATTAAAGGGGGTTTTCCTTAAGATTTAAATTGTGATTTTCAATTCCGAAAACTTTTTTTTAGCTTTATGTTTTAAGCTACTCTTAAATTTGTTTTTTTATTTTCGACTGGATAAGCAATACAGTTGCATGGGCTTTCAATTTCTACCAATAAGACTCGTTTTACTTTCTTTTATCACACATTTTTGTTAATTTCAACACATTACTTCCTCTTTATTCAATGTTACTTTTTTAATCCTATCAACCCATCAAATATGGCAAACGCTAAACCTTAAGAGAAGACTTCTTCCCATTTTAAAGTAGGACTTTTTTCTATACCCAATATAGCTCTAGAGCTCCATCTAGATCCTGCAATGATGTGCCTCTAAATTCATTACAGTTTGTAAAATTAAAAAAAAATTAAAAGTGATTAAAATGCTCTCATCTCTCAAACTGATTTAAAAGAAAACTAATGTATATTTGGAAAATATGTTATCTGAAGTTCTGTTCGAAAAGTACTGAGCTGGGAGAAAAGCTATTATAAAAGAACAATATCCACAGAATAGTTACAAATTTTGGCAAATTTTTCCCCAATATTTCAGGCAATACTAAAGATAGTATTTAATGAGCTAGCTAGGAAGGTAGCTATAAAGGTAATAACTCCTAACTGGAGTTGTTTAAACGAACAAACAGTTTTCATTTTTCTACAGCTGAATGTATTCAATATTGAAAGGTTTATTTTATCAGCAGATAACACATATGGCTATTAACATTCGAATTAACAACCTTATATGAACTAGAGAAGCTTACCTTTTCAGCACAATTGGAGAGCTAGTCCAAAACCTAAATATATTTTATTGCATTGCGCAAGGGCAATGGTGTTTTTTAAATGTATATTCTTTTTGGAAATATTGCAGCTGTTCTCGTTATCCATTTATCAAGCCCAAAATGTGTGAACAATTATACCTGGAAAATAGAAAACGTACATATTGTTATTGTATTTGTATGGAATATGGAAAAGCAAAGCAGCGAAATAAACGATTTCACAAAAAGTAAACTAAACATTTAAAAACATTTTATTTCTTTTTTTTGTTTCTGCTACGATTTGTACATGAAATTAAAACGCATGCGGGCAATTAATTTGCTGAACATGAAATCGTGTGCTATGTGTGTGTGTGAGAGTATGTTTGTTGTCTGCCAGAACTGTTTGCATGCATATATAATTGAGTGTTTACCTCCTCTGGCTGGGGTCAGTTGTTGGTCAAGCGTGGCCAATGGTGGACTGTCGAGACTAGATTTTGTTTGGGAAGCCCTCTTAAAATCATGATTGTTGTAAATTGCTGTTTGTATTCTCTGCTGGTTTCAGACTGGCACACCCGTCTGACCTCCCTTACTACTTGTATATATACATAAATATACATTCGTGTATATGTATGCATAATTGCTTATATACTATAAGTATGTGGATGGATGTATGTGCATGCCCCTGCTTTGTGTTGTAATTGTGTTGAGTTGGTTTTCAGATTTTAATAGCGCTCATTTATTCATTTTATGTTCATACCTATTCACCCATTCATTCACTCATTCATTCATTCGCTTTGATTTGAATGCCTAATTCTTCACGCTTTGTTCGAATTGCCCGTAAATTTTGCATAAAATTTGAATATTTTTTGTGGTTTTTTTTACACGCATTTGAAAACATTTTTGAAATTGTTTTTCCCTTTGTTGAACTATCTTCGTTATGTTTTTTTAGAATACATACTATATCTTATATCTGCCAGTTTGATGCAAATAGCAAGTGGCTGCCCATCGTAATTAAATGTATACAAATCTAAAATTTTGTAAACAGCCTTGTTGGATTCGAATATTTGGGATTTTTTGGTGTTATAAAATATTATTAGAGAAAATAAATCAGTACAAATTATTTTAAACGCACAATAACACTAACAACTTCTACTATTTTGTAGACTAACAAATGAAATTTGTTCTATTTTTCTATTTTTGCCAAATACGTATGTTTTTACTGAATTATATGTTCGGAAAGATCTTAACAAATTAAATAGTGTTTGAATACAAATCACGTTTATGTGCAGGACCCGTAAACAGACAAACCCTTAAAATGTTTTTATTATCTTCAATTTGAAAAGCTAGTTCTAAGAACGGCTTTATATTATAAATATTAATTACATTTTTCCAATTTTTCTCAGATTTGCTAAAGTTGTGGAATTTTTAAGGCTTCCAAAAATCAATAGAATGAATTGCATAAAATGAATATTTTCTAATTTTTTTTTGGCCCATAATAGTTTGTTACATCTTAATCCTTGTTTACTTGTAGATTAATAGTACCATATAGCCAACTTAAGTTGTTCTCAAAAATGTCGGTGCGCTTAAAAGTTTTAGGCTTACAATCCCAATGTCCAAACCATGAAAGGGCTATTCTTGTTATTGGTAGAAGGGAACTGACATTTTTTTAACAGCATGAGTTTAATTATTCAATAATGAATATCAGTGTGATTTAAATTCGTTTGACCATTTTAATTAATTGCATTAATAAAAATGAAAGCAAACATCGCATAAATAACAAATATTTAAGAAAGAAAACAAAACTTGTATCTCCTGCATAATTTCGAATTTGTATTTTAGGCAGACAGGCAATTTAAAAAGCAGCTTATGAAGCAATTAAAATGCCTAAACAGAATGTTGCAACAATAAATTCCGATGCCTTTAAATTGCCAAATACTTGGCCATCGGAAATGCCGAGTCAGCGGCCAAACAATTTCAAAAGTTTTCCATGCATGTGTATACTATATGGATGTATGTATGTATGTATAGGTTGAATGCTAAATAGACACGATGTTTAGATTGGAAATGTTCTGAATTTTCCAAAATTAAATACAACTGTGCTAAAAATAGGCTAAATGATTAAACGCTTTAAATGAAAACAACGTTGAATAAAGGATATAAATTAGTTGATGACATATTTAAACCGTTTTTGGATTACTACTATTTGAGTTTTAATTCCGAGCGTGCTACTAAACTTAAAATTGTACATTTTAAGATAACTGAATGCCTTTCAATCGAGTTGAGTAATTTGAATTAAAATTGTATTTGTGCACTCAAACTCATAAAAACACAAGTAGATTTAAATAAATAAATTTATATTTTTGCCATCGACTTTTCACCAAGAGTTTGATATTGAAATATTAAATTTAAAGTGTGACGATATTTAATAACAAGTGATAAACGTGGGTTTGTTTCACGCCAAAGGTTTATTTTTTATTATTATAAATATTTACTCACTTTTTTGTCTTCTCTTCTAACAACAGTGATAATTGTTTTAATAATAAAATTCTTGTAAATGCATATTATTTATATTTATTACACAGAAGAGTTTTATTAGAAGTAATTTTCGAATCCTTCTTGTTAGATTTTCCGCTACTTTTAGCTCAGATCAGATCAATATTGATATAAAAAGTGAAGAATAGCTGATTGAATACACTTTCTTGGCACACACTTAACGGACTATATTATCAACAGTTTCCCCTTGTATTTATACCACGTACCGCTGAAAGCCGCCTTGTTTGGCTCTATTCTAAATTGAAAATATTCGAAAGGACTATAAAAAATATATAAATTGTGAAGGTCTACCGTACACCTATACTATATACGAGCATATCAATAATAATGTAACATATTAATAGCATAAAGTTGGAAAACCAACCTTACAAAATATAATTTATTTCAAGTATATTTAAATCAACTACAAACAACTTTTAAATTAAGTTGAGAAAAATATTAAAATTTCCTATGGAAGATATTAAATTTAATAATTTGTAATTTGAAGTGGGCGCATATTAAAATTAAATATGGTTCAACTTTAATGATCAAGATGTACACTTTGTTTCGAATATTATTCGTATTTAAATCAGTAATTGAATTTGTTTTTAATTAAATTTAAATTGCTTATATTTGATTTAAATTCGAAATATTAGAACATAGAATTGATTATACAAATATTCAATTTTGTTCAATTCATATTGATTCCACTTGTACAGGTACTTGAATTCTTGAGATTTGTAGGTAGGCATCATATATTTGTGTAGAGGAATCGTTAATTCCATATACTTGTAGAGCAAAAGTTATTGTCATAATACAGTCAACTATTAAACCGCATGTGCTAAAATATTTTTGCAAGTATGCGATCCTTAAAGCCGAATAAAGCTATTAACAAACACTATCAGACTAAGACTTTAAAATGAACTAAGAGCTGTAAATTGAATACAGCCTATCTGTGAACAGTCACGGCATTTTCTAATTTACTGTCCAATCCTCACATTTATTTTCAGCCCACGTGGCGCCTCTGGGGCGAGGAGACTGAGAAGAATGCAATTTTCACGGTGTATCTGAAAAAGGTGCGGTACCATCGTCCGACGCCAACGGCCAGCAACGTAAGTGCTTTGAAGGCAGATAAATGCAATTACTTTGCAACAATTTTCGCATTCGATATTATAGCAGGACTCCGATGACGAAATTTCGCACCTGGAGTGGGAGACGGTGCGAGTGAGATTTGTGAAGGCCGCTACATTGGCACGCCTCGTTGAGGCACTGGCCACCGATGATGGCGAACTTGAATCGACATTCATCAATGTCTTCCTCTCCACCTATCGCACCTTCTCCACACCCAAGCAGGTGCTCAGTCTGCTCACGCAACGCTACGATGCACTGCATGAGAAGCATCTGGAGGAGATTGCGCAGCAACAGGAGGCTGGCGACGCTTCCTATGATCCACAGATGTCGATACACGAACAGCACAAGAAAACTCTAGTCTCGGCGTTGCATGTGTGGCTGGACGGTTTTCCGGAGGATTGGCATGAAGAGAATCTTCAACAGATCTTGGCTTTTGCCAAGCGGCGACTGAAGAACTCCGATTTGCACAACAAGGTGCTGAATCGCATGGAACGTTTGGTGCGTCAGCAGATATACGGAGGTGGCGCTGTCGAGAACAATGGACTACCGCCTTGGCTCGGTGGTACTGGCGGCATGGGCGGTGGCAATCAGAGTCAGCTCTTGGTCTCCCCATTTGGCTCCAACTTCGACATCAGCGACCAATTCAATGGCCTCGGCTTGACGGTGTGTACGCCAATCTATCGGGGACCGCCGCACTTTCTGCAGGCCTTTCGCTTTCCACACGTGCCCGTGCGCCACTTTGCCGAGCAGCTGACGCGCATGGACACGGATTTGTTCAAACGCCTGATTCCGCACCAGTGCCTGGGACATACGTGGGCGAGACGCGACAGCGGCGGCTCTGAGACTGTGGTGGCAACCATTACTCAGTTCAATGCGGTGCTCTTTCGAGTGGTCACCAGCATTCTCATCGATCGGCTAAAGCCACAGGTGTGTATAGCCCTATCAAGATATCTAGCCTTTAGGTACAAATAATATTTCTATTTACAGGACCGAGCGTACAACATTTCCATTTGGATAGAAATAGCTCAAGAGCTGCGCATGTTGAAGAACTTTAGTTCGCTAAAGGCCATCATCTCGGCTCTAAATTCCAATTCCATCTATAGGCTCTCTAAGATTTGGGAGTTCTTGCCAAAGGAGCGCGTAAGTAACCCAAGCAATCCACCATTTAGTATGCTCCCTTGTAAACTGTGTGTCCTCCTTTGCAGACGGAAGTCTTTGCAGAGCTGGCACGTATCTGTTCGGAGGACAACAATGCCTGGACACTGCGCGAAGTACTGAAACGGGAGGGCACTGCCAAGAATCCGGATCCCGCTAGCGATCAGTCAGATCGTCATCTGCATAAGCTTATACAGAACCAGTGCACGCAGACTTCGCACGGCACCATACCCTATCTGGGCACCTTCCTCACCGATCTGACAATGATACACACGGCCAATCCGGACTATCTGACAGAACAGAAGCTCATCAACTTCGATAAGAAGCGCAAGGAGTTCGAGGTGCTGGCCCAGATAAAGCTGCTGCAGGGCGCGGCCAACACGTACAACCTGCATGAGGATCCACTGTTCGATCACTGGTTCGCATCCATGCCCGTGCTTAGTGAACGCGCAGCTTTTGCGCTCAGCTGTGAATTGGAGCCGCCACAGCCAGCGCCACGTAAGTCACTCGCCTCGACCAACACCTCATTGACCAACAATTCGCACACGACCAACTCGACGCCATCTGTGGGCGGCGGCGGTCATCGTAAGACTGACTCCATACACTCGAACTCGAGTAGTGGTGCCGGATCCCAATTCTACTGTGAGCTCAACAGCAGCTTCACGGGCTCCAACAGCTCTCGTCACAATTCGCTCGATCGCGATGCGCCCCACGCCTCGCTCATGTCCGCCTCGAGCAGTGTGTCCAACCTTTCCCTGGACTCGAGTAACTCAGGCGGTCGCCAATCGGCGCACAGTAAGCTCACACACTCCCAGTCCATGGGCAATGGTCTGAAGAATGCGATTAGTAATGGCAGTGGTTCATCGAACGGTCAGCCACACATCAATGCACAGTTGGTGCAACCGGCGGGCGCCAACCCTCAGTCCGCTCCTGGCTACTACATCATACGAGTGACCTACGAGACGGACAACATCGAGTCAGACGGCATTGTGCTCTACAAAAGCATCATGCTGGGCAACAATGAGCGTACTCCCCAGGTGATACGCAATGCAATGCTGAAGCTGTGCCTGGACGATGATCCGGACCGGTATACGCTGGCGCAGGTGTTGCCCGACAAGGAGCTGGTCATGCCGAAGAATGCCAATGTCTACTATGCGGTGAATACGAACTACAATCTCAACTTTATACTGAGACCGCGAAAGGCCGATGCCAATGGTAGCTAGTCCACGGCTGTGCCCCTGTCCCAGTTATGGTGCTTGGGATACGAGGGCGAGGAGTGATGAGTGATGAGTGAGGAGGGAGGCGCAAATGTATATATAAATCGATATATTTCACGGCTAGACATGACAACAAATTTAGTTGATAACTCTCTAATTTATTTATTAAAGTTCATTTGTGAATCGCAGCCGAGCTCTCAGATATTGAACTGATATTGGAGCTCTGGGATTTTTTGTTCTGCGAACGGTCAATTAACCTGTAGATAAAACGCAACTTTTGTAATCTCTATTTCCGTTATAAGATCCCCCAATACGCATATACATATTTATAGACTTACACAACTGGAATATTTGCTGATATTTATATATAAATATATATGTATGTATACCTATTGATAAACGTTTGATATTCTGGGTCATTGCCACCCTGTTCACAATGTGGTACAATAATTTTTATTAGATTAGAGAACTGCGAAACAGTTTGAGGTTTACACCAAACTTATTGACTCGTTGTATGTACTTTATTTTGAAATTTGAAGAAAGAGCAACCAAGTATTTGCATGGATGTTACTATTTTTGTTTTTACTCTAAATGTATTAAATACAACAATACGAGTTGTAACTCTATTTGGAGGGCCCAAATTTTTGAAACGCTCTCTACAAAGCATAGTTAGTTAAGTCTTTTGTTGTATGTAGGAGTATATTAGCAGTAAACGTAATATTAATTACATATAGTATATACGAGAAGTTACATATAAAATATATGTCAGCTATAAATAATATTGCAAAATGAAGTGAAATACAACACAATGATTGTGTAAATACAAGAAAGATAACGAGCGAGAATCTGTGTCAATCGAGTTTTAATAATTTTCGAGAAGTTTTATGTTTTTTAGGTTTTAGGTGGATCCGTTCGGTGCATAATTCCGCATACTTTTAACTTAACATCTAATTTCGGGCTTAAATCTTTATTGTGGTGAAGAGAAAGATTCCCTATATGGAGCCATAAACTAAAGCCAAAACGAGAGGCAATTATTTAAATGTTGCTCACAGTTTGAAAGCCACTGTACTATACTAAATCCTCTAGTGACATACTATATGTAGTTGATATCACCGAATTAAAATCGTTGTATAAACAGCTAGAAATCTTGTTTAGAAATTAAAATAGTGAAGGTTGAATAACTTTTACACACATTTTGAATTTACTTTGGGACTATACCTATTTTTAAATTTGGGGATAAAGTGTGCCATACATCAATAGGTGGAGACAGGAAGGTACAACGCAGCAGTAAGTTTATTTTATACGAATTTAAATCTATTTAAGCAGAATTAAATTTTTATATTTGGTAAATCTTTATTTATGATCTGTATATTTGACAATTATTTAATTTTTGAATAACTTTGTCATAATGGTTGCGGCGTGATTTGATTCAATATTTGAAAATTCTTATTTTCTTGATCTTTGTCTACCGAAAGTATTGAAAATAGATCAATATTTTATTGCAATTTTAATTGTTTTACATTTAATTTATTTAATTGAATATTTTCTTTTTTTTTCTCATTTATCTTTGTTCACTTTGTACTTTATAAGATCTTTTTTCGTTTTGAATTGCTATAAATGGTTTTGTTTTTTTATTATTCATTCTTGTTCAATTCTGTGTTTTCAAAACGTACTTTTTCCCATGTCGTTATTAGATCTTTCTTCGTTTTAAATTGCTATGAATCGGACCATTAGACGATCAATTCCCTCAACCAGTTCTAACTTTGTCTTTTTTTATATATCTAGCAATTTATTCAGAATTGGAAAATAAAGGTAAATTTAAAGGGAAATTATTCGAAGATTTTATTCTATCGATGTTGATGATGCAGGTTGCAAAAACGATGTTATATTGCAAAAGAAAAAATTCATATCATTAAATTTTTATTAAAACAAGAAAAAACTGAACTAAATGGCCAGAAATGATTCTCACTGTTATATAGAAAGTTTGTCAAAATCGCTCTTTTAACTACCATCAGCAAATGCTAAATTAAAATACAAATGGCTTAATAAATCCGGTAATTTAGTCTTATATTATTTTGTCAAATTTAAATTGAAATCAGTTATGTGACAAATATTTGTTCTTAAAATATTTGTTGACTTACGCAAGTCTTAAACAATGAGTTGTGTGGCATTGAAATTAGCTGAGTGGATTCTAAAATTGAAGTTATGTCACCAAATACCTTTGTTTGTTATTCAAATTCGCACACCCACACACACATCTCTTTGGCATTGGCATCAATGGCAACGCTGAGATGGCTGCGAGAAAGCAATAAACATAAAATAAATTACTTTTTCTGCATTTTAACAACTTTTTGGCTTAGACGAAAACAAGTTGCACATATTCGTGAAAAGCGCTACACAAAGTAAAGTACTTTCGGTACAACTTTTAGTGAAAGTTCTAGAAAAACAAATATAACCCAATTTGCGTCCCTTTGGCTATAATTTTGACCTGCTACCGAAACAGAAACTTTAATTAGATCACTTACCCGTAAATGACAAAAATAAATCGCTAGCCGCAATAATAAAAGCCAGCCGAACAAATTGCGAGTGGTTTTGGGAGAGGGTTGGAGGAATTTAAAAAGCTCTCAAACAAACTTCCACAAACTATGTAGTCCGTGAAAATGCCGAGCATCAAACAGCCCAATGGAAATGGAAATGAGTGGAGCCGGGCCGAGAAGAGTTCAAATGGTGAATGATGGCATGGGAAGCGACAAGTTGACATCAAAGTTAAAAGGGGAGCTTGTAGGTAGGCTGGGTGGTAAGGGGGTGGGGTTGAGGGTGCAGGTGTTCTGTGGAGGGTAGTAGTTGTTTGTGCAAAAAGCTCGTCAAACAGCAGGGTTAGCTATGACGTCATAGTTGTAGTTGTGCAAAACTATTTGTCGTACGCATGTCGTCATAAAGTCAAACTACCTCACACAAACAAAAACAAAAGTGAATACAACAATAATGACAACAACAACAACAAGAACGAATAATCAATAACCGACGCAGACATAATGACGCAGCCAAAATGACATAATTCCCAAGCAGCGCCCACATCGATAGTGACAAGGGTTAATGATGAACGCCGTAAGCCCTGTTGGGTCTTGAGGGTCACAGTCAACCGAGTGAGACTGCCGTAAACGGCCTCAATACAGAATTCAATTAGAAAACTTTTGACGTGACGACGACAATGACGATGGGGATGGCGATGCGGGGGATGTGTGGGAGGAGGCCGAGTTGTGACGACAGCGCCTGGTTAGCCTTCGACACAAAGCCAAGATGCCACGCTCCCACAACTCACGACCCCAATGCACGTGTTTTCCAATCAACACCTCGCAAAAACCTTCATAATGCACGGACATGGGCGAAGAAATCCCAACTTTTGTTTTTCCCATTGCCTGCTTTTAGGCGCTACGCTCTATTCTAAGCACACTACACTGCTATACACACGAGCCCGTTAATGTGTTTGAGTGTGTGTGTGTGTGTGTGTGTGTGTGTGTGTGGGAAATGCAACAACGTGTCGTCGCATCGGTTACAGCTTCCAACTTTTAAAAACGGGGCGGGTAGGAGGTCGAGTCGCTGACGGTGTGGCAGTGTGGGGCGCGTTGTAGGTGTGCATTACCTGACAGAACTCGGCCAGAACAGAGCAGAGCAGAGCAGAACAGAACTTTGCCTCCTTTTTGTGCGCGAACTGTCAGGCAGTTTGACGTTTCGCTCTCCACGTGTTGAGTTTCTGCGCAAGCTTTCCACCACAGCAGCAGAGAAAAAGCAGCGTTGCCTGGTTAGTTGCCGTCGTACCTGGTCTCAGCGGGGTCTCAGCGGGGTCCCGTCGAATTCATGTTTTTCGGACTATTGAGTGAGATCTCCGGCAAAAGCCACAGCCAAGTTGCGGGTGGTCGGCCCTTAGCACTGGGATTGGGTTGCCTGCTAGTGGATTGCTTTGTGCTGTACACTGAGCGAAAAGGCATGCTATCTAAAATATTCTTTTTTCATAAATTCATAAATTTCTGACACATTAATAGTAATAATATTATCACGATATTTGCTCGTATGAGCAACAGTAAAATTAATACAGAAAAGAATAAAATATCTGAAAAGAATTGTGTGTCAGGGCGACACACTAATGGTTGTCTTGGAATAATTTAATTTGAGTTAATTAGTTTTTATTTTATTTAATTTTATAATTTAATTACTAATTATTTAATTCCTTTTTTTATTTTATTCATCAATGATTGTTGCTTAATAAATTTGGCTTCAAAAGAATAGCTGGGAAATGGTTTTTGCTTTCTGTTATCGAGCTAGAAAATCGCTATATAATCGCTTTACAAACTGCTATGAATAGCTAGATAACCCGCTAGAAAATGGCTAGGAAAACAATTATAAGTAACTAGTTTCAATTTCGCTAGCTGTTCTACTTGCTGTTCATTTATGCTATTGGTTTCGTCATATAAAAGGTTGCCGATTTAGCATACAAAACCCTTATTTTATTCTGTTCAGGCTCGTTATTTAGGATAGTTTTGTGTAAATGAGAAATATGTAAATATTTCTTCTCAGATAAAATGGAACAATTTATGGGCTAATCGAACACATTAAATTATGTGGGATGCACATATCAATCAACACGCTGGCTGAAAAAGAAAAAGTTGGAAAATAAAACCAACAAGAACCATTTTAAAATACAGAAAAAATATCTTAGTATTTTGATAGAATATAAATAAAGGGATAAAAATACAAACGTAAAATTTTTTTGTGCAAGCCTGGTATTTTTGCGAAGTCCTTGAAGTCAGATGATTTTAAGCTTCATTACTTTGAAATTATTTTGCTGCTACTGAAATTGTTTTTTTATTCAATGTTAAACCTTTTGTATTTGTTAATAAACATTGCTTTAAAATGGAAAACACCTATAAAGGTACATATGTAGATTTTTAAGTGTCGATTAATGCTTGTGTTATGCTGTGTTTGCTTAACACAATGTAACTAATTATTTTTGAGCCTTTTTGCGCCTTTGGTAAATATTTAAAGATGTTGCAGACAAGTTTTAATTTAGTCATGAGGAAATGCTTGAGATTTGAATTGAATTGATTACCAATTGGGTGTTTGGAAAGCTCTTTAAAAATATACAGCCAGGCAAGAAAACACAAATTATGAAAGAAATATCCAAATTTCACCTCATATATTAACAAATTTATGCCAAAATGCCTAAGAAAAATATTCAAAATTCGGATCCGTTAATATCAAGCCTTCAATTAAATAAAAACCCCAAGAAAAACATGACAAGCTGCCGTCAGAAGTGATTGCCCTTTTGGCTGAGGCAGCCCTTATATTAAAAGAAGATAATATTACATCTGATATAGGCTCGGATTCCGATTATGAAAACATATAATCTCTTCATTTGAGATAGAGGCTGAAGAAAGTTAAGAAAAATATTGTTTTATGTTAAAAATTTCATAAATTATAAATAATATATACACAATAGTACATTTAATTTTATTAAATTTAAAGTAATTTAATTTGGTTAATATGGGAGACAAGAGTGGGCTTGGTCCGATCACCCTAATTTTTTTTCCAATTTTTATTTATTATTACAGTCAGCTGTACCAAAATGGAAGTCCCTGCGAACCGCATTTTATTTTATGCCCCAACTTATGCTTTTTGGGCCAGTGGACACTGTAGTGTCTTAAATTCTGTTTCAGGACATTTTTGGTGAGCGGCGATATTGACAAAACCTAAATAAAAAGTGTAGAAAATTATTGTACTGCGTTTGTTTCTGATAGTTTTGTTTTTATCAAATTCTTACCCTTTTTGATGGCAAAACATTCATTGC